AATAGTTACGGCTACATACGATCAGATACTAATGAATATATGAACAGATATCTCTATTTCGATTGTACCTGAAGGCGTTTTTTATGATTTTTGGTTATGTATTTCCACTCATATTCATGTTCACTCTGGTAATTAAACTCAGTACTCACTGCTTAAAATACTACTAAATGTAATTTCAATAGTATCTGTTATGACTTGATGGCTTGATGGAGGATGTTTCATATTTGTGTTCATGTGTAACAAGTCCCAGTAATAGTGTGGATAAAAGACATCGGTACAGGTATACATGAATGACTAATGTCAAATAGAATAAAATACCGTTTATTGATTCAGTCCCTATCCTCGACCTGGAATACAATCAAATAACATAGCTGATTCAATATACACTAAATATTATTAAATCAAGAAGAAAATTTCTGAAACGACTACTAATAAATTCTCAGCCTCGCAGCTGTTTTGTTAAAAACAATGATATGATTGTCTCCAAGGTACTGCACAGACACAATGTAGTATACGAACATATTTAAATAAGTTCAGCAAAAAAATCATAACAGTCTAAAATTGCTTAGTAATAGTCAACCTATAACCTTTCTTTCAATGCCAGCACGGATACACTTTTATAACTAAGTTGAGGATCAAGCAGTTTGATTGGCCAGAAATCGGTATATCTGTTTAAACGCTACTTAAATTATTGTATCTTCAGGTATGAAACGGTTTATATAAAAAAACTGAAAAAGCTATGAAAATCTTTAAGTGTTAAAATCTGCAATGGTAATATTTCAGCAACGCTTTTCTAATCGGCATAAAGTAGATGACTATTGAGCTAGATAACAGATGAAAAAGACTTATATGAATGTTTACAAGTTTTTAACATTCCGGACAGAATTACTCTGATGTACAGTAATTAAAAAATATAGGAAACAATATACTAAATTTGAGTTTTTTGTTGAACAATTAAGTAGGATTAAAAGTTGGGAACGTCATTTATCCAGTGAGTTAATTAATTTTTTACAAAAATGACTATTACAAAATAATTATTGAAGTGACCACAGTAAATTGATTACAAATTGATTTCATGGTTAACTTTCTGAAGTTACTTATTATTTAAATTTAATAAATAGTATATCACATGAATATTGTATTTCTCTGACCATTCAGTTTAATTTACACCACTCAAGAGATATTCAATAGCTCAATGTGTTGTCTCCGAGATCCATATTATGTACCAAGGAATAATAGAAAAATTTAATTGTAACCTAAATAATTATCAGATATAATGTGTGTAATTGTTAAGGTAAAATAACACATAAGTTCCTAATTTTTCAAAGTGCTTAATTGTGAAGCCAGAACTTGAAACATACATTGTGGTAATAAAAGCCACAAATACTTTTTCGCATGCTCAAAAACCTGTTCTGAGTCGCTTTTCCAAAATATTTATTAGCATGCAAAAGTCATTAACTATTAATCAAAAGCACGGCAGCCACGTGACTCAATAGTTTGAAACTAATTTAATAGTTTGTTTATAAGTTGATGATTGATCAGTATATATATATATAAACTTTGTCATGTCATTTGAATCATTTCAATACTAATTCCTTTGATCGTAACTTTTATTAACATGGTTATAAGGATCTGTATTTTCCCAATAATAATGTTCAGGACTGCAACTTGGCGTAAATCAAGAATCACTACTTATTGTCTATTACTATTAAATGTGTAATCTATATGATTGCTATAAATGAAAAACAAACTACCCCCAGTCAGTACTATTTCACATAATTATGAAAGTGTAACGGTGAAGTCATATGAAAATCTAATTCAAAATAATATTTTTTGCTTGTGTTTCTTACCATAAATCACACAGTTGGTCTTCTTCAAATTTTACTTGTAACAACAGATCACATTATTGGTGATTTAGTTTTCCTTAATAAAGATCATTTTCAGGTCATCCAGTATATAATCTAAAGGGGACATGATTTTGTGAAATTATTTTTATAAACCATATGACAAAGTTGAATTTCACCAACCATTGTATATAGTAGTTTGTTGAATCAAAAAGTACCCAATTTACCGTTACACTCCAATACAATATTCGTATACCTATAAATTTAAACTAAACATTATTTTTACCTAAAGCGCTTTCTTGATTAAAAAAATCAAAATTGACGAGTTTTAGAGCTCAAAATGTCTAACTCAAACATACTAAAGTCTTTAACAAAGACATCCGAACTTGAGCAGTCATACATTAGACGTTTTAAAGTCATTTAGCATAAACTATCAACAAAATTTTTCATGACGTTTCACCAAGGCTGCTTCTTTATAGAGTAATTAGTAATTGGTAGGACATCTAAATTCATACTATTTGAGTTCATAAGTTTTACTCATTCCATTTATAGGTAAATAGTCAGTTTTAAATGTTGACACAAATGTTGACCTCTTCACCTTAAATTTGACTGATCACGTTTACTAAATTTATTTGTATGTAAATTAAGTCTGCGATCTTTAAATCTTTCTTCATAAACGTATTTTCTAGTGTTGCCTCTTAAATTTTATGCAGATTTAAGTGTATTTCCATAAACGTTTATGACTGACTTTAGAAATTCAGCTACAGTTTTCCATAGAGACGTTTTGGGAATGTATGATATATCTGATGGATTATCTGTTTATACACAGGTAGTTAATTATTATTTGTAAAAAAATCCTCAGAGCATTCCAATATAAATATTTAGCTAAATTTTATATATATTACTCAAAATGTTATCCTAAATATGATTAATTACTTAATAAAAAATATTTGATTTATATGGCAAAATTTTCATTTTCATTTCGTGAATGTAATTCTATTAAACTATTATGTGTCTATCTAAATTATTTATTTAGTCGCAAACATTTTTTTGATTTCACACTTGTTGTTTTGTTTAAATTTGACTGAATTAAATTTGTTCTTTGAAAATGCTTTCACTTATAACATTGACAAAATATCAAACGTTTATCGCTTTATATAGCCGTGTGACTGGATTCAAAATCTTAAGCCGTTATGCACTTAACTGTTAGCTTAATCTTATTATTCTGAGCTTGAAATCTATTCGACAGTCAGTTTCGCATTTTCTTACAACTGAGAAGTATGATCTACAAAATGTAAAAGATACATTTATGTTCCATCACAAGTGTCTCTAAAGTGTTACTAACATGTGTCAGAAATACTTAGTGAGTAATGCTGAGGTTAGGAGCATGTCAGTTGTGAACTGTTACCTATTAGGGCGGTTATAACACGTATCACATTCAACACAGCATAACTTGTCTGATGATGAGGACCGATATATGAATAGAATGAGAAAGGGTAGGGGTGAGGAGATCAAGACATGAAGTCAATTCGTAAAGTTTATAAGTGTTGATTGAAGTTGCGTGAAAAAGTGTATGATGGTCCTATTCTGTATTTGGAGGCGTTCGAAAATATGGCTAAAACTTTTCATCAGTATAGTAGCGTCTACTCCGTATTTTCGTGAAAATGATTCCATTGTTTTATTCTCCAGCTTCATCCGTTCCTTTTTATATCTAACTTTTATTTCTGGCCAAATATATCAGTTGGTATCATTATTTCTTATGCTCTCATTTTTACCTCATCAATTTACTTTCTTGATCCGTTGTGAGATAGAGCTTTGGACAGAAATTTATGTTTGTCACGTGCTATATTTGCTATAACTGACCAACTTGGATATCATATAGTGGCATTTTGTTGGATTCTTTTCCATTCTGGCCAAAATCAAAATATTGATTTTTTTCATATTGCACAGTATTTTTATATGATATTCAGGTAATAAACACTTTGGAGATGCTGAATTCCATCACTTCAATATTTTGATTAAGAAGTCCTCATGTATATTTTTGCAAACGACCTTTTAAATAATTTGCTTTTTTCTGAACTAATTTGAAACATCTCTATATTCCGAAAAGTCTTAAGAGAATAGAAAGGAGAAAATTTCATACGACAAATGATAAATTGTGTTATGATAAGTTATGTCCTTTTTTGAAAACCACTTCCTTCAGCGTACTATATTTAAACTGTTTGTACTACCTACAATTTTTAAGTAGTAATAAATATTATGAGAAAAACATTAAGTTGTGAAGTTTTGTGTACTGGAAATTACTGAACGGTTTTTACCCCTAAGGATTTCTGAATATGGACCACTACTATCTTAAGTGAAAATTGCTTCGAATATTGTTTAAGATATAATCAGTATTGGGTGCATCGAAAATTTATTTATAACATTCCCTTCTTGAGAACTTGTTTCTTCCATTAACAGGTCATGATTAGCAAATTTATTATTGGAGTTATCGGTTCAACTAACTAAAAAACTGTGATCCGAAGCTTTTAATTCTTTGAAACGTCATTAAGCTAAATTAGTGCTAAGACGTGGCAAATACATTCTTTGTCAGATTTCTGGAAGACTTTATATACTTGATGTTGGAAAGTGAGGTCAGTCAAATATTTGAAGCTGGTTACATATTAAATAAATTTAAGTTTGGAAAGCCAGTTTTCAAGCTTTAGATATAAATTATCACATCTCCTGTCATTAATCTTGATTTGTCTCATATTATATCTCCATATGAATGCACATTGGCTATAAAATCCAGTATCAGTGTAAAGTTTGACTTTTGTCTGCCGTTCACATACATCTGTCCCAAAATATACATTTCACAGTCGATTTCGCCTCACCCTTCCACAAACTGTGTTTTTCTTCCAAAGCCTCATGACAGTACTTCTGTGACTTCACAGGGATTCGTATTTAGAAGTTCTAGGTCTTTTATTCAACACAGTATTCAATTTTCTAGGTTACTTCTTAACAATTTGTTTTTTCTATTTTATGTAAAAAAATTACTTGCTGTATTGTAGTTCAATCAGTTATCATTCATACATTCTTTTTTTCGTCTTTGAAACTTGAAATTTCATATATGAATAATAATTTATAACCATAATATATATATTTTTCTACAAAAAGCGTTGGCACAATCACGTAAAGCATCTGAAGTCTCTATCATTGAAGAATTATCACAAGGTCAAAAGCCACTACCTAAAGGCATTGGTAGATTATGTAAGCAAATAATTTAATAATAAATTGATTTATTAAAATAAACTTTGCATATTACCAACTTATCAAATAATAAAATAGCACTAAAATTTTCGTGAATTAACCATATGAATTTGTGAAATTTTACATATTTTTTTAATCTTCAATTTCCTTATCAAACTTTAAGGATTTGCCTAAACCATTTACTCTTTATAAGATTCATTTAATTTTATATTCACATAGGCATTTGTATAATATTGTCAAATATTAATATTATAAATTAAAATTATTACATTGCATATGTTTCATGTTTGTTATTTTGCTCAGTACAATTATCTATGTATAACATTATTTCAATATAAACTTTTGTTTTAATAACTTTAAACTGAACACAATCAAAATAAGGTTGTACTATTTTATTCATCTACGTGTTTAAATGAGTGGTTGACAGTTTGCAGAAATTTGTGTAATATATATATATATATATATATATATTTAATGGTTGAATTCATGAGTCAATTAAAGCTAGACCACCATGGGAAACATTGGATGGCCGTTTGGTATTAGTATGGAACTCCTCAGCAGTTCGTACCCACGACCCCCATCCCGCAGCTGCTTAACCTCTAGACCAATGAGCCAACATTCAACGGTGTTAATGTATGTAAATGAACATTTATTTGATTTATATCAACTGATTTTATTTTGTAGTTTAGTTAAAATAAAATTTTTAAAAATTTCATAAATTCTTATTTTGGATTTTATTTTAAATGGTTTTGACTTCTTTTATTAAAAAGGATTTTTTTTCTTAGACAACTACATCTATCCATTTTTTTGCATCTGTTATCATTAATACATTTGTTTATGCCAACATACTTTTAGAAAGTGTTATCTTTTATAAACTTTATCAATCAGATAAGTTAACTAAATATAATACACACTTTAGGTTGAGTTAATTTTTAATATTTGTTTAAGTAGTTTTTTTAATTTTAGATTACAGTTTAAAACCAATACGGTTTATTGGAGAAATGAGAATGTTTCTAATTCAATATTTTTTCTTTTACACACTTTACTGAATTCAAGTTTACTGTGTACTTTTAATTGAATCTATTCACTGATTTGGTGATAAACAACAGCACACAGAGGAACACTTTACTATTAATCGCGTATTGATTCTAGAATTTTTATTTCTGTTATTTGATTAAAACTAACTATTATGTATTATTACATTGGTGAATAGATTGAAACACTAATTTATTCTTATCCTTTTTTCTTTTTAAACTTTTCCTCATCAATTATGTGCAGCCGTATTCAAGGATACAGGTTTGTCAGTTATGCAAACTAAATACTGTTTATTTACGTATATTGATGAAATAAATCACGTTTGTTTAGTTTAGGGAAAAAAGTCGCTTAACTAACCTACTACGTAACCACGCGAATTCAAGCTTTGTTGGCAATACGTTTAAGATATTTATTCCAATCTGAGTAATTACTCACGTGGAAATTAGTAATATATAAAAGCATAGACATTCTTTATTCATTTTTGAGAAAAGATAACATTTTGGACATAATCGTTTCCTTTCATAGTGTAAAACGAATTCGCTGTTTTGCTGTTGATAAAAAGGAGATCAGTCAGTCTTCAGTCTCCAGTGATAAGGATAGTAGTCTGGTGGACCGGCGTTAATCCTGACAGTTTGCCTTCTAGTGATGGTCTAGCTTATCGAAAATGTTTACTGATGGGACTGATTCTACTTACTCGGGTAAGGCGCCCCAGTCATTGACTGGGACGAAACTCCACTTTAAGTTTATTAGATCGTGGTTTGTGAACCTTCTTGGTATGACCTTGGAGATTATTAGTGGTGGAGGGACCAAAATGATAAGACGTATCAACATCCAAATTGTAATTAAAAGTATAAAATGCCGATATAAGGTCACCTTGCGTCCTACGATACGACAGTCAGATAACTAAAGAATATTACATAAATGTTGTTTAAAGTTTGGTGAAGACATTTGACCGGTCTTAATTGTCACAAATTCTTTTAGCAAAATCTAAACTAGTATACAAGATTTTTGGTAATTCTAGAATTTTCACAATTTCGATCATGAAACTACTAGCTATACTACCACTGAAGATATAAAAGTACTGGACGGTCGTTCGTAGTTGGGCGCCATTAGGGATTATTGAATGTTTCCTAATTTTTAAAGATTTTCAAGCTTAGGTCCTTAATTTCTGGAAAATAACAACACATTTTGAGTAATTTCATTGATTTCCATATGAATGGAATCAAATAAATAACAACAGCTACAATACTGCCGTAATCACGCGTCATTTATCCAGCAAGTAATTCAGTGAATAAACGTTTGTGAGCATAAATAATCATCAGATAACATAAATTTAGTATATTAATGTGAAATTATTGTTCAGTATATATTAACTGGTCAAATTTGTACAAATCGGAGATATCTGCATATAAGCTCTACGATCATCTCAGTAACCTCAGTTTGCTATACCTTTCCACAAAGTATTTAATCAAACTGATCTCTAAATGTCAGTTAAGAAGCATTTTCGGGGCTGTAAATCAAGAGTAAATAACTCGTACCAAGAGTCATGATGAACTAAAAAATCTCTGTGACTAAGTTAGCGTTCTTGCTTCAAACACACAGGTAAAGCAGAATTTCCTGAGTGTGATATTACTTGATATCGCTCTCTGCTTTTATGCTTTAGAAATAAAATAGTAATATCCTGGCGGCTAAACGTTCCAATATTTTAAAATACCCACAGAATAGACCAGATATTGTGATCCTAAAGTCTGATAAAGGTTCTAATGCACTTGTTATGATTAAATGTGGCTACAAATATAGAACGTTATCCCTTCTAAGTGTAGAAAATAGGTTTCTGTTAGCTAGAGTACAGCTAAGGCTTTGCAGAGCGCCTCTTTAACAGAACTCATGAAATATGCACCGAATATGCTTTGAAATAAGACATGAAGCTGCTAATTAAAACACTGATACTAAAGAGTTTTTCGCTGAAGCTTATAAATCAGTATAAAAGTCAGTTAGCAGTTAGCAAAACTGCTCTCACCGACGCGTTGTAGATTCGACCTTTTACAGCCAGACTAACATCATGAAGGCGCCAAAGATGGCCCAGATTGGTATAAGCCGCTCTGGCTTTCACTATACGTGCATTGATCTCATCACTCACACCACCACCAGCACTTATGCAGCTACCCAGATACACGAACTTCTCGACTACTTCTATCTGCTCATCATCCAGAGTGAGTACAGGATTATAATCCTGCCAGTCTTGTAGAAGTACTCTGCACTTCGAAGGTGCAAAGCACATACCATACCTACGGACATTGATTGCCAACTGATTAAGTGCGGATCGCATGGCTTGGACATTCTCGCACAGTAAGAAAACATCCGCATACTCAAGGTCGAGAAGTCTTTCTCTAGGCAACAGATCCACACCACCATTACTTACATCCATCAGAGCTGTTTCCAGAATGTCATCGATGGCAAAGTTGAAGAGGAATGGTGAGATTGGGCAACTCTGCCTAACCCCACTGCTTGAATGGAATAATGGAGAAAGGTGGTTGTATGTCCTCACTTCACCTGAGGTGTTTTGTATAGGGCTTTTAGGATGTTAATAAACTTATCAGGCACACCCTTCTTCAATAGACAATCCCAGAGAACAGTTCTGTCCAACGAATCGAAGGCAACCCTCATGTCAAGAAACACTACGATTGTTGGCCTGTGATAAGTATGGCGGTGTTCTAACATTTGGCGGAGGGTGAATATATGATCAATACATCCTCGACTAGAACGAAACCCAGCCTGCTCCTCGCGAGTCGATCTTTCTCGGGTTTTGAACAACCTACGAAGTATGACGGAAGCCAATAGCTTGGACGCAATCGGAAGTAGACTTATCCTACGATAGTTGTTAAGGGAGCGACGTGAACCCTTTTTAAAGATAGGGACTCATTCCATGATGTTGGAACACTCTAGCTCTCAGACCTTTGTAAACAACTTCGTCAGTCCCTTAGTCAGAAAGTCACCACCATTTTTAAAAAGAGCCGGAGGTAAGTCATCTGGGCCCGGTGATTTGTAGCGCTTCAAGAGTTGGAGTTCCTCATATGATGGATCAGTCGTCAGTGGCCATGGAGGGCAGGACAGTCTGACCTATGTTGCCGGGGCAGAAAACCAGTTGAACTGTCACTCGGAAGACTATGCCCGTCGTCCAAGACGTCATCTTAACATATTTTTTCGTTCACACCAGACTTCTTGCTGCCAGTGGCTCGGATGAGTTGAAAGAGCTTCCGACAGTTACAAAATGCAACCGCTGCTTCCAAGTCATTGACACGCTCCGACCACCAAACTTCTCGGTCCTTACGCAAGTTTCGTCGAACTCACGTGAAACAAGCTTTTCAAAGCGACAGATGGAGAGTAAATTTGTAGTACTTCATTAGAGTCTTGAATATGGGTCTCGGTAGACAACAAACATCGATATTAGGACTTTCGAAAGACAGCCAACCCTATGTGTTGTCTGATCCTCATTAGTGTGCGAACGTTGAAGCAGGCCAGTTTCAGTGATATAAATGGTTTCAGAAAGACTTTTAGTATTCGTAGTCGGTGGTAGCATTCAACTTTCGACCGGTCAGTAACTCGAGATCGTTTAGATTGAACAGAGTTTCCACCTTAGGTGAGCTTCTGTATAAGTTGAAAAATAAGGATGCACAAGGTGAGAATAAATTATAGTAGTGCATAAAAAAGGAAAAAGAAAAATGAATGTGAATTGTCTGAGTTTTAATTGAGGCGAGAATATTATTTTCAGTAATTATCTTCATTTCATTTTATTTGTGTGTGGACTGTGATACTACCCAGGTGCCCAGATCGAAGCAGATGGTTTTCTTAAGGGGCCTCAACCGGGGCCTTTGACCAAATGGTATAGTCCACAAGGCAGTGGAGCAAAATAAAGAGATGCAATCTCATGGTTGCTGGTGGCCAACAATAGGCCTTTTGCTCCCTTAGGATCCTGTATCCCATATGCACCATTGGTTTGGAATGAGGGTATCCCAACTCCCCTAGGTGGATCCTCCGTGTCCACCAATCTGTGTAAAGCACCGGACATTAGCTTTTCGTCCTATCAATTTCGTAAACAACACCCCTTCCTCGAGAAGGTAGTGAGTAAGACTTCCCTAGTAGTTGTTATATGCACGTGGCCATTTGAGAGCATTTCGAGAGGGAGAGTTGTCTTTCCCTACTCTCGGTCGTACATATATAAATAAACACATCTCCCCTTTGATTTGAATAATTGGACATAAAAATGATCAAATTTGTATTTTGATTTGTTCGTCTATACCAATTAAAATGTTCATTTATTTTAATTATTTATTCTCTGAAAAAACAATTTAATCTAAGTTGTGTAACGTTAGAAATTCAATTTTCTACTCATTGGAATATAAAAAATTTATTACTTTTCTTATGATAAATAACGTACTTCATGTTCTGGTTATTTGAGTACATCAAGTCAAACTTTGGTAATGATACTTATAAACAGTTTTTTTATTATACAGAATTATAATTTTACTTGATTTTTTAATAATCCTTAGGTATTTTGTTTTCTTAAGACTTAATATAACTTGTAAACATTATTTTAAACGTATCTAAACAATATTAGATGTTAACTGTTAACAGAAAACTTATTGGCTGATTTGCTTAGCAAAAAAACAATAATTTACTCCAACAGTATGAATGATTATATTAGCTACACAGATTATTTTTAGTTAATCAAATGCTTTATACCACGACTTGCATGGGTATAAAACGTTTTTACAAAAGGAAACGTACTATAAAGCAGATTAAATGTGAGGTTAACAATTGGATGGAATATATTATTTTTTTTCGTAATTTAACCTTGCCTCTCAATTATGTGTGAAGATGATAAGACAATATTCCGGAATAAATCAACAAATAAACAGCTCTATATTATATTTATTTACGTTTTAGAAGAATTTTTACTATTCACTTATCAGGTATTTTATATTACAGCACTGTCATCAGAAAAAAGGAGATATTCAGTACAGAATGCATCCGGATCTGGAGGTCAGTTTATTCCACTTGTTAATCTGTTCTTTTTTCCATTGATTCTCTATCTTAAAAGTTCGATTACTCACTAAACGGTATATTTTAAAATCTTTGCTACTCTGGTCAATCAGTAAATGAATCATCAAACCAATGATAAGAGAACCGTGGGCTCAGTGGAGCATATCTTCGAAATTAAACATTTCCTTTAGACAATATAAACAAGTTTCTCACTATATATTAATCTGTAGGTCGGTTATTTCTTGTTATATTTGAATCTTTTTGTTATACTGTTAATTAGTTCAGATATATAAGTAAAAGCACCATAGTTACTGGTTTTAGTTAGTTTGATCAAATAGAAGATGTCTGGATCACAACATTACTAATTAGTGATTCTTGGTGTCGATTTGTTGATTTTCCTTGCTAACATAATATCAAAAATTGAGATTTGGGGCACATTGAAACAAAAGAAATTATATATTTCAAGAAAGAGCAGATTTTACATAAACTGAAATTCTATTATAGTTTACTTATCAAGTAACATTCAAATAACTTTACGTAGAATATATATATATATATATATATATATACTCTAAAATTAAAAGAACTGTATGAATCAGTAAACGTGATGAGTTAACTCCCTATTATGTTTAATTTCAACTAAACGGCCATGAATATCATAATAATCTAGTTATATTATCAGTTTTTCTAGTTGAATTTTATTTTATTAAAATAACAACAACATTTCGCCGAAAAGAGCACTCTTCGCAGAACTAATCTTTCTTACTTTATAAAAAAATTTAAGAAATTAGCTGTCGATTTAGATAATACATCTGCCTAAAAAATGTTTGGTTTTTTTATTTTATTATTTAAATCAGCCCTTCCTCCAAGAAACAGTCCACGTGTAACACCATATGTAAATACACCGGTTACATCAGCTGGACGTAAGTAATTTCACTTTCCATTCTTTTGTTTCTATCATTTGTTTATCAAAGATTCATTAAATCTAGTTTATTATACATATATTCATAATCGCTAATCATAAGTTAGTGGTGTTTAGTTTCAAGACAATAAGGATTAATTTTAGTGGGTCATTGTTCTAAAGTAACTAGCGACTCAAGAAAAAATCAATAGAGGTTTTGGTTGCTTGGATGGGACTAAACCATTCAGTTTATATATTTGAAAGATTTTAAAGGCAATCATAATTCAATTACTTTTAAACTCAATAAAATTCGTGGTACCTTCGGAAATTTTTAATTTGTTCCACTCGTACACATTGTAATTGAGCAACTTAGTTTATCTGAAATTAACTTATACACTGTGAAAACTGTAGTGTTCGTAGTTTCGTTAAACGTTCATCCTGACATCCGTTATTACGGGAACCCCATGGGAGTGAATTCAGAAGGCGACAGGAAGCTGCAACTACAACTTATTAACTGGTAGTGCGGACCACAGAATTACAGACACACCAGGCGGATTCGAAGCGGAAAAGCTAATGAATCGTTGCAAGCGAATTTAGAGGCAATTTTATTGTCACTGTGGTGTGTGCTACTTATGTAGACATAAGTAGTATATGACGTGAGTTACGAACGTAATGTCTGGCAGCAGAAGATGGAGGAAGATCAAAAAAAAGAGAGGAAACACAGTGGAATTTGTATGGAAACTGATGAACTATGAATGGACAGACAATCGATTGATGTTTGCAACAGAAACAGTCAAGTTTGATATGATGGATTGTTATTTTGTAAATTAGTGATTCACCATATGGTTGTTAGATTTTACTAACTAGTTCTGGAATTTGTTACAAATTATATAAGATTGTCCCCATTCGTGTTCTTGTTCCCTACAACACAACAAATAGTGGCACGGCTATTTAAAGTACAGGTTGTTCTTATAATACGGGCGCATATATGTGAGAACTCCATCTATAGCTCTTCCACGGCTACTGCCGGGCCCAAGTCCGAGTCAAGAAGGAGGGTTGAGCGTGTAGTCGGTAAACTCATCCCATAAAGAAGAACCTTGTTAAAAATCACTAACTAGAGCAAACAATTCAAACCATCTGAACTCTGTTCTCCAACTTCCAGGAAGAATTGTAACGCCTCATGATGAAAGCAGAGATTCTTACGAATTCACGAATCCGACTCTCATTCCAACAACCAGAACAACAATTTCCATAGGTACATAGAACGTCCGGAGAGCAAAGGTTAGGTACAGTTGAGATGCTGCTGTATCCCGGTCATGAAGATGAAAACGTTCCATACACTCAGGGAGTTGTTCTGATACCGCTCAAAGAAGCACGAATTGCACTTATGTGATGGGAATCTCATGGATCCAGGATCATCAAAGCATCCTACAGAACAAAGTAGGAGGAAATAACAATGAATGTTTTCCAATGTTTTGCACCCACCAATTATAGCAATGACAACGATGAAGATTAATTCTACGAGAAGCTGCAGTCAATCATAGCGAAGTGCCCATGAAAGGATCTCACCGTTCTGATGCGAGACCTAGACACCGAAATCGGAGTGGACGACGACGGTTATGAAGATATGGTGCGACGACATGGATAAGGCAAAAGGAACGAGAATGGCGAGAGATTCGCAAATCCATGTGTATTCAACAAATTGGTTGCAGGTAGCAGAATATTCCCACAAAAATGCATGCACAAAACTACATGGGTCTCACCGAACCACACCACGGAGAACCATATTGATCATATTTGTATCAATGAAAAATTCAGAAGGACAATGGAAGGTATGAGAATGAGGAGAGAAGCTGACATAGCTAACACGAAATTGAGGCTAAAGAAGCATTGTGCAACTGAAGAAACAGCACTATAAAGTTTCGATACAGACTTCCTACGACATACTGACAAACTCAACCAATGCATCATAGTTCTCAACAACAGGTTCCAGGCATAAGAAGAGCTAGTGAAAGAAGCAGCAGAATACTATGGAGTGTGACTGGTAAGAGATCAAATAAGCACTAGCTTCAACGTGTCAGGAGGTTACGGGCCGTAAGAAGCACCATCATGAAGAATGGGTCTCTATGGAAACCCTAGGCAGGATTCAAGAAAGAAAGGAGAATAAGAACAGAACAAGTCAAGGCATAATCTGAATACACTGAAACAAACAAACAAGTGAAGAACAGTATTAGATCCGACAAGCAGAGACACGTAAAAGAATTGGCGACGACGTCAGAAAAAGCCACAAGAGAATGGAATTTGGAACAAGTATACGATACAACGAAGAAACTAGCAGGGGGATATAGTAAACCAGAGAGACCGGACAAGGACAAAGAAGGAAAAAACATCACAGAGATTCAAGAACAGAGGAACAGATGGGTGTAATAATTCGAGGAACTGTTGAATAGGCCCGCTCAATTGAAGCCGTTGGACATCGAAGCGACACCTACAGATATTGCTCTAGATGTCACTCCACCAAAGATCAAGGGAGTCAGGATGGCTATCAAGCCGAGTTTCTCCATCGGCTTGCATGCAACTGGACTATTTGAACTTCGCAGTCCATCTAACACTTCTAACCCTTGCACATCAACAAATAATGTTCAGGACAACCAGTGTAGCAGCAGCAGCCTCTGCAGCAGTAGACATTGACATACAGTCAGCCAGTCAGTAGCAACGTGGAACTTCGTACGTACGTACATCTGTTCGAGTTGCCATACCACATTAGCACAGAGATTCAGTTGTCGATTCAAATCCTATAATGGTAGAGGTAGTGAAAGTATAAGTAGTAATAGGGAACATTGAGGTTTGATGATGTTATTCAAGGAGCATAATTCAGTGGAATAGATTTGGAAAGAAAATTAAGGACATGAAGAATTCAGAAGGTTAGAGTTTGGGAGAACACAAAGAGTGGATGCACCTGAGCTATTGCAAAGTATTTTGAGTCATGTCATTCAGAGTGTCTAGCCATCGGTTGCTATTGTCTCGCGGATCCCAACCAGGTAGTCTACACCTACCAACATGGCTCAGTCCGATTGTCAGTGACTTCATGGATTTGTGTCATGTTTTGGTCTGGCCGCTCCTAGCTTTCTTCCAACCTACTTCTACACCATAAAACATCGCACGTCGGGGCAGTCGGTGGTTGGGCATACGTAAAACATGTCCCAGCCATCTCAACTGATTAAGTTTCACTACTTCCTCAAATGATTTGCCATCCTTACCTAGTACCCGTTTCATAACAACTGCATTACTTGCTCGGTGGTCCCAGTGTGGTGTGTGCTACTTATGTAGACATAAGTAGTATATGACGTGAGCACTGAACAGAATGTCTGGCGGCAGAGAGATAAGAAGATTGAACAATAAAGAATGAAGACAGAATGCAATTTGTATGAAAATTCAAGAACAAGGGGATTCTGAGTGATTTGAGACAATTGATGAACAATGTGCAAATTAACGATTCAATATATGGTTGTTTGATTTTACTAACTAGCTCTGTAATTTGTTGTTAAATACATTGGATTGTCCTCACTGGTGTTTTATTTCACTACACCAGGATATACGAGCAATGGTCAAATACTAGTAACCTACGAATATCCTCCACTCTCACCGGTCATGTAGGACGGAACGAACTGCTGTGCAGTAAGCACGTCCTTTGTTTGATAGACAGATATCTCACCTACGCCACAAATGACGCAAGTTGGCAAAAGCTAGTCTAGCCTTCTGTATCTGTGCTGAGATTTCGTTACACACCAGATCACAAGGGCTGATGAGACTTCCATGTAAGTGAAGCGGTCGACACGCTCAACTACTTCATTCCCTATCATTAGTTCAGGTGTTGTTGCGACTCAATCCTGAAGCAAAATTTTGCATTTCGAGGGAGAAAATCGCATGCCGAACATGCCTGCATTGTTGCTTACAGTGGTCAGCAGACTCTGCATTTTGTCAGCGTCTTCACCAAATCGAACTATGTCATCGGCATATTCTAAGTCAACAAGTGGATCTCCCGGTAGAAGTTCAACTCCTGGAAATTTAGATGAGGAAAGTGTTATCTCTAAAAGGACGTCAACGACAAAGTTAAACAAGAATGGAGAGAGTGGACTGTCCTGACGAACACCACTTGAGGTAATCAGTTCTGAAGACATTTCGCCATAAGCTCTCACTCGACCAGTTGTGTTCGAGTAGAGAGCCTTTATAGGGTTAATGTACTTCTTTGGTACTCCTTTCAGTGACAAACATTGCCATAGAACCTCACGGTCAACAGAATCAAATGCCGCCTTAAGGTCGAGAAATACTACGATTATGGGGCGTCTGAATATGTGTCTATGTTCTAGGATCTGACGTAGTGTGAATATCTGATCTATACAACCACGTTCATGTCAAAAACCAGCCTGGTTTTCTTTAGTCTGCTCTTCACGAGCTTTGGTTAGACGTCGAAGTATTATTGAAGCTAATATTTTAGACACTATATAAGTCAAACTGATTTCTCTGTGATTGTCACAAGAGGACTTTTGTTCTTTTTAGACTGGCACAATCAGTGATTGAGACCAGTCAGATGGAATTAGGTCCAGTTCCCAGATTCTACCTAAGACCTCAGTCATTCTCGCTGTTAATGCTGGACCGCCGTCCTTAAAAATCTCAGAAACAGACCTTTCAGGGCCTGCTGCTCTACCACGCTTCAAATTTCCTATAGCTTTTTCAACTTCGTAAAGACTCGGAGGACTTACATTTACTTGCCATTCTGGTAGATTGGAGATCGTGGGAAACCGAAGTGTGGCTGAAGGCCAGTTGAACTGATCCCTAAAGTGTTCTGCCCATCGATCCAATCTCCTGGATTGAGAATGAATAATATGTCCATCTTTCTCTGAGATTGTTTCGCTAACAGTTGGGTTCCTAATACCGGTTTCCTTAACAAGTCTGAACAGTTGTCTGCTGTTATCCATTGCCGCTGCCTTTTCCATCTCTCTTGCTTTCGCTACCCACCACTGTTCACAATCATTGAGTAAGCTTCTAGTCAGATTACACTTAAGCTGACTCCGCTCTTCGTTATGTTCAGAGCTAGATGGAATGAGTTTACGAGCATCTATCAGTGAGGTAGACGCTGCTGAGATCCAGTGTTTCTCCCTAACCTTATGGTTTACCGTACTTGCTGACATCACTGCTGTTTCTACAGCTTTTCGGATGTCATTCCATGCTGCCTCGGGGTGGGTATCACTTACATGGCTGCCTAACTGTTTTTCTAGATGTTCCTGAAATATACTCTTAGCTTGACTATCATTAAGTAGGACCCTAAGGGGTTTCCTTACAGCATGTTTCCTACGTCCAGTAAGGAGTAGACAAATACGCGCTCGCACTAGAGCATGATCTGAGTCTAAGCATGTGTTCCAGAATGAGCGACAGTCTTCTATCGAGCCCCTCCATCGGTGGCTGATAGCGATGTGATCTATTTGGGTCCAGCGTTGAGACGAATTAGGGGGTCGCCATGTCAAAAGATGTTTTTCCTTATGCTTAAAGTTAGTGTTTGCAAGAAACAGGCGGTTATCTGAGCATAGCTGCAACAGACGGTCGCCGTTATCTGTTCTTTGAGCCGCGACATCATAAGATCCACCCAGGTGTCTTTCCTTTTCGCTTAGTTTACCAGCCACTATTACTACATCAGAGCGCCTAGCTTTTCGGAGAAGGTCGGAAAGCTTTCTGTAAAACTCATCTTTTACATTATCTGAGCTGCAGTTAGTGGGAGAGTAGGCAGAGACGACGAAGAGGCAACGACGAGTGTCCCTATCTTTCCGAGTCCTTACTGTTCCGTTTAGTCGGACAGCACACAAACGACTGTCTACTGGAATTCAGTCTAAGAGAGATAGTTCTGCCCTAGGACTCAATGCTATACCTAAGCCAGCGAGGCCACGGGAAGCAGCATCAGGGCTTCCAGATACACGAAGCGTAAATCGAGTTGGTTCGTTACTTTGGCATGGTGAGGTCAAATGAATGACACTACTCGGATCTAGTGTGCGCGATTCGGAAACGCAGCACACATCGATGGAGTGAGATTCTAAAGTCCTAGCTAAGGAATCCTGTTATCCTATTTGGCACAGTGTTCGGACTTTTAAAGCTTTAACGTGTAGTTTGTAGCGTGGTTTCAGGAGACCAGGAAAAGCTCTGGAATAGGTGGAATCTTTCACGTACCTGTAAAGCATCATCGATGAGCAAGAAGGATCTCATGCAGACGTAAAGGTGAGGATTGATAAAGCATGGATAGCATTCCTTAACTTGAAGAACATATGGAACTGAAAACGACTGTCTGTCAACCAATATCAAGTCAGAATCTTTAATACGAACGTCAGGATAGTTCTACTGTACAGAACTGAAACTTGGAGAACTACCACAACCATCATCAAAATTGCACAAGTATTTCTAAACAATTGTTTATGCAAGATACTAAATGTCCTTTGGTCGAATACGATCAGCAACACCTTGCTGTGGGAGAGAACAAACCAACTTCCAGCTGATGTGGAAAAGACGTTGGAAGTGGATAGGACGCAAATTTAGAAAATCATCAAACTGCATCACGAGGCAAGCCTTAACTTGGAATCCTGAAGAAAAAAAGAAAAGGGAAAGGCCAAAAGCACACCGCGTTTGGAATTGGAAGCAGACATGAAGAGGATGATTAGCGTCTGGAAATAATTGCTTAGGAACGAGTTTATTGGAGAATGCTGGTGAGTTGCCTATGCTCCTCCACGAAGGATAACAGGCGTAAGTAAGTATATTTATATGACGGATGGGGAATTATACATCGAGATATATTTAAGTGATCAAGATTTGGGTCAGACACATATACGTAGGCTGTAGTAAACAAAGAACTGAGCAATTAACTTTGAATATTGATGTATATATATTTAAAGATTTGTGGTGACACTTGATTGGCCACCAAACAGTAATCAATATTATGCTGTTTAATCTTTGGTGATGATCAGTAGAAATCGACTAGATGTCTATCAATAGTTTAGCGAAAAGCACCAAAGTATTATAGTAGTAAGAATAATTAACATGAAAACAATTTATTCTGTGTTTTTATTATTTGTTGTTTGTATTCACACATTGCTTAGTATTTGACCTGAAAGAATTTTTCATAAGAATCATTTGTAATCTCCCTTTTTTGTGTGTAATTTAATTGTGTTTTATAACATAGTCTCTAAATTCTATTGACGGTGATCCATTTTCTTGAAAATATACCAACTGTTTAGTAAACACTGGCTAATAAAACTCTTGTAAAACATAAGCAGATTTAAAAAAGTTATGTAAAGCATAAAAAATTATTTCAAAATACTGGCATCCATAATTTTTAAATTGTCACCATTTAGATAACCTTAATAGTATCTTTCATTACACAACATTAGCAAAACCTCCCAGAGGTGTTCATTTCTACAGCTTACTGACAACAGTACATAGTTTGCTAGATAAAACTTGTGCAACACTGAAAATCAATGTAAAAACACTAATTATCATTTGATGTTTTATATGCTTCACTACAACTGAGGGTAAACAAAAATCCAAACTTTCAATTGCTTTATTCAAAATGGAAACAGATTATTGTAAATAAGTGATAATTTTATAAATAAGAAGTCTACAGCCTTCTAAGAATTATTTCCCAGTAGTTAACATATAACTATTAGTAGTTTTAAACTACAAAATGTAAACCAATATATGTTAAAATGTTAATTGGTTATTCAGTTTTATTTTCATTATTTTTAACTAAATCATCATCAGCAGGAAAATACAAATACTATGAGATCTATGTTTTGGCCCATCATTATTTTTAGCACATTATAGATTATAACTCTTGATATTTCTGTGGTCTGATAGTGTAATATTTTAGTGAACTTATTGTTAAACAGACTCGACACACATGGTTCAAATAATAGTAGATCTATGCAATGCATAGATGTGAACATTTAGATGTTTTCAGTCAAATATGATTTGTAAGTAACCGCAAGAATTTTCAAAAACATGCACATTCATAATTTATCTTTGGAACAAAGTATCAAGTTATCTTTAAAAGTGTTCATTAATGACTCAAAAATTTGTAGCCTAAAAAATCATTTTTCTCTGGGCTTACTTCATAATTTACGCTTGTTGTGAAAAAGGCATTTCAAAATGATATAATTTCAATAAAGCTGAGTGATTAAAAAAATTAAGTATTTAATCTTAAGAATATATATATAAACACTTATAACAATGGTTTTTTTCTAAAATAAAACTATATACTTGTTTATAATTCTATCTTGTTCAATATTTATTTGTGATTAGATTTAAGCAAAATCACTGAGGTTGTTTATTTACATTTGATTAACAGTTAATTATTTTTCGTTTATGTATCACAGCAATACCTGTATCATCAACAATTCCAAGAGCATCGATCGCATGTAGTAAGTTTACACATTTGTTTACTGCTCCTAATCTCTGTTGTATAATTACATCATATATTTTACAAACTAGAATTCTACATTACAAATTATTTCATTTTTACCGATTCATTTATTTTATATTCATAAATGACATAGACCTGATATATATATATATATATATATATATATATATATATATATATATATATATATATATATATATATACAACACCATATCATCACAGAGGGATGAACTTATGAAAATAAATGTCAGAATAATAAAAATAATAACCGTATCAATGTTAGTAAAGAAAATTAAGCATGGACAATATTATTTTAGAAAAAAGAATGAAGTCACGTAATAAGAAATTAAGGACATTTCTAAAACTGAAGATCTAAGGGAGAATGAATGAACCTACAAAGTTATTATCCCATTAAAATAATTTGACCTGTTAATTTAGTAATAAACACATTAATTTACAAATTTAAAGGACATTTAACAATCAATGTAAATGGACAATAAAAATTTATTTCATTTTATCATCTGATTGTTTACAGAGTCACTTTAAATGTAACTAATTATGAATAGTAATATGATTGATTTAATAATATTCACTGTGTGATCTAATCAAAAATTTCATGCAACAATTACATCAAATCTTTAGATGTTATACTTTCAAAATGAATGCAATTTATATATTTTAAAAGTAAAACTATTGAAATTACTACAATCTCCACAAAACCCCTTCTGATACTAATCAACATATGCTCGCTAGTGACTGGCTTCAAGATGTATATCCTGGAGTTCAAATGAGAAGCAGTGACCAATGGTGTTCAACCGGGTCTGTTGTGAGATAGTAACGCACTGATAACAATGGTGGATGTGTCGCTCAATTTTGTGAATTAGTTGAAGTTAGACAATAACACCGTTGAATGCCGGCTCAGTGGTCTAAAGGTTAAGCGTTCACGTGCTAGACTGACAAGTCCTAGGTTCGAATCCCGTGAGGCGAGATCGTAGACACGCACTGCTAAAAAGTACCACATTAGGGCGGAACGGTCGTGTAGTGCATCCAGGTTTTCCATGGTGGTCTAGCTTCAATTGACGCATGATCTCATTTATTGAAATTAAACAATTAATTGACAAATGTTTTATAATCAAACGATATCAAAGTATTTAAGGATAATTAAATTGGTATCACAAGAAGTTTTGTGCATATTATAGTGATCTTAATAGTTGTGATCATGAGTCAATTTAAGCTAGACCCCCATAGAAAACCTGAAAGCACTGGACGGCTGTTTCGTTCTACTGTGGGACTCTTCAGCAGTGCTCATCCATGATCCCAGGACCTATCATTCTTGCGCGCAAGCGTTTAACCTCTAGACAATTACGAGCATATAAACATTTTTAAAATTGACTTAATCTGCCCCAAATGTTTTAAAATAAAAATAATTATCAAATATACAGGATTAATGTTTATCATTTCATACCAAATGGTATTTTTTTTACTAATCGTATTTTAAACTAAAAAACAACACATCTAATTGCTAACTAACAAAATAATGGTATAACAAACATATCTATTTATATTTCATCTCTGTTGAAATAGTAATTGCTTATATTCACATGAATATATATAATGTTCAATATATCTTTAATCAATATATGGAAAGTAAAGAGCTACCATAAAAATAACTGCAGATTTCCTTTTCACTTTGGTATTCAAAAATGTTTTATACTCATCAAATGTTTTTATGTCCTCCTTTACTGACCAACTAATTTGCATTTTATTTATTCAATTTTTTTCAATGAATTTTCTTTTCATTTGCAAAATTAAGAAGTCTAGTTTTTCACTTCATTTTTTCCATATTGTAAAACAAAAATATTGTAATTAAAACATTTGAATCCCTTCAAAAAGCATTTGACTTGTAGACTATGCCAATACTTGGCGAACGTACAATGACAGAAGCATCTTGAAAAGTTCTTTAACAGGTAAACCATAATATGTATATATGTAAATGTATATCAAAAATGGATTATTACAATAAGTAAGCACACGATGTAATTTCGAATGAATGTAATTAAAAAATCAATCAAATTACTAATTAAAATTTATATGTTAACCAAGTCCCAAGGTAAGAATTGTATTTAACCGGAAGCAAATGGATGCTGATTTATGTTCTAGTAACATTTCATGTTTTTTTTGCAAATCCACCAATTATGTAATCAGTATATTTTAGAAAGGGATTATAAGTGAAATCCCATTTAGTGAATAACTTATTCTACCTAAGTTTAATCTGCATAATGGTTTTGTCACTTAATGCATTGACTTTTAAGGTTGAACACATCGATTTAAATACTTTTATGCCCTCTATTAATCTAAGCAATTTTATTATTGGCAGTGAACGTAGAGAGATTCTCTTTCTCTTTGACGATTTCATCTAAAGTCTTCAACCACAAATTATGACTAATGTGCAGGAGTTAGTCAAGAAGTTTTCATTTCATTATAGTTGAAAGGCACTTCAGCATTATTAAATTTACTTTTATAATGTAGCAGAAGCTTGGATGGATTTTTTAAAAATCTTTATTCATTTAAAGTTACCAATAAAATATAAATCATAAATGTATAATGATCTTAAACGGTTAAAGTTTAATTAATGAAACCATTGAAGAAAAGTGTATAAGTACAGATTTTTCGGTCATCATACATAAATTTACTTAAAATTAAGCTTTTAAAATTGTAGAAAGTTAAAAAATACTTTATTTCCGTCAAATTATTTACATTGTTTGTGTTCATGTTCTCAATAAAATCAATCTAGTAAGTGATTCAAGCTATAAAGTAGATTATACAAATGAAAAATATAGAATAGAATCACAAATCTAAGTCGAATAATGAAAATTTAACAATTATTTCCATTAGTAACTAACTTAATAATTATGTATATAGAAAATATATCAGACTTTTGTGTGTGATACACTATCATTAGTCTGATTTTATGACATACTATTGTAGAAACAATAATAATTTAATAATAATTTATTAATAAAAATCAGTGTGTGCAATATTAAAATTACTAACAAAATAGTGTTGTGAAGAAACAGTCTCGTTTTGAACAGAACACATCAATTGAACTAACAGTTTGGTTTGTCTAATAATTGATTTTCTCTCAGTCGCTCACACTCACATACAAATAGGCATACACTTTCACTTTTGACTTGATTGGTGACTAGTAGGATTATGTTTTTAATTATTTTAAAACGTTAAAATATGACTTTGGTAGTATAAATAAATTAAAAATCATTTATGCATTATGAAAAATATTTATAAATACCTTGGGTCAGACTTGTGTAACCATGATTAAATTGGATAGCTTTTCCGGAAGTTTCGTTTGAATTGAAGGCTTTTTTTATTAAAAACCGATTTCAGAGAGGTCTACCAAAACCAAAAAGCTTATTAATAAACGTTTGACTATTGATAACTTTCTTTGAGATGGATTCCTCAAGGTTTTCAAAAGAAGTCATGACCTATCAAATCCTACAACTCTAATGTAGCCCATTGATGATGAAAGACGTTTGCACTGAATCAAAATGACCACGATAAATAAATCCTGATAGAGTTACTTTACAATCCCATTTTTTATGCGAGACTTGAATGCTTTATATTTGACTTTGTGTTAGCTTGTGATAGGAAACTAAGGAAAATCAACTTGCTAGTATGTATTAGTTGTTTACTGCCTCCCTGCTATATACATATATATTCACAGAATGTAGTTATACTTTCCTCTTTGTTAACCAATTATTTTGAAGTAGGTGTAACTTTTCTTCAAAGGATGTAGAGGAAATCAATCTAACCATTAATTTAGGCGTTGTGGAGATTGTCAAGTTTTTGATTGAGATCATGAACCAATTGATGTTAGACCACCATTGGAAACCTGGAAGCACTGAACGGCGAGCGGGATCGTGGATGCGCACTGCTGAGGAGTTCCACAATAGGACGAAACGGCCGTCCAGTGCTTCCAGGTTTCCAATGGTGGTCTAACATCAATTGGTCCATGATCTCAATTAAAAAGAAATCAATCTAACTTTGACTCAACTAGCTTTAAAAATACAAAATGTGTAAAAGCAATGTTTATGAAAACTGAACCTTATAATAACCATCAGTAAGATGTTTTTCTCATTTTTAATATCAACAATTAAGCATGATGTTGTCTGTTGTTGAAATATCAAATCTGATAATTTGTCATATGTACTGTAATTCACTACCAACAAGAATTCTTAAAGTTTTACAATTCAACGAACACCCTGACTAAAACAGTACTAGTCAAAATAAAGTTGTCAGTTTCTTTTTTAGTTTACAGATTGTCATCAAATATTTAAAATTGTAATGTTAAAAACTTACTAAACGGTATCATTTTTGAACATTTTAAACATTTTGTCGGTATTTTTAATCTGTAAAACCACAATTCCCAGAATGAATAAACACTTAATGGAGCATATTTTGGAGAATTTTAGTGATCTAAAACAGGTTTGATTAACTAACAATGTTTCTACATCTTTAACCAGTTCGTTTTATTTTTTGTATATTTGGTTTACGGCAGAATGATAACTAACTTATTAAAGTACTTTACTCCTAGTCAATAACTCTAGAGTTATGTACCTTATCCCATTTAAATCGATCCATTTACTTGTTTTAATTTACTACCATTTATGCAAAGGTAAATTACAAGAACCTACATCTAATTACTGAATTACGTTAATGTTGTTTAATACTCAGCACAATTTTTGAAGATTTCAAATGGCAAGGAATATTTTTTCTCACTTATACTCATCAGCTTCGTCAAGTATTAAAAACAAATTACTATGTCATCCAAATAAACTGCTTCATTTAGATGAGTTATTTTGAAGTAGGTGTTACTTTTCTTCAAAGGATGTAGAGGAAATTAATCTAACTTTGACTCAATTAGCTTTAAAAATACAAAATGTGTAAAAGTAATGTTACTTCATTTACTTCATTTAAAGTAAAATGAAAATCAGTAAAAGAAACACGTTTCATTATTCGGGGAATAACTTTTGCAATTCATGTAAATCGTATTACTAGTTATTTGCTTCTAACTTTGAGTGGTAACTTCCTGTCATTCACATTTAATCCATTGAGTACTGTTAACACTTGATGTTTTAACAATACCATTTTGGTGAACTGTCAGATATGTATATTTATCTCGTTCACTTAACTAGTTACATTTTCCGATTTTGTTTTGATTAAATCACTGGGCTTTTCATGTTCATTTTAACATATATTCACATAGGCTTTAAAAATTATTCTGTTATGAATTAATTTGTCGATATTATTTACTTGAGTTACTCCCAGTGCTTTTGAATAGTGCAATTTTCGACAAATAAACAAGCATTACACTTATCACTCTCTATTAACTACACAAAGCCAAGATTGCTCAAAAAAATTACCATTGTGTATTAGTTTAAGAAACATCTTTTCCAAATCCATATGACAATAAATGAAGATGTTAAATTCTTGAAGATGCAGAAATTGAAAACGATTTCTAACTAATAAAGAGTTTCATTTCTATAATTTAACTGTATATTAAAAAAATCATTTTAATGAGAAAAAATTAAGTTATACAACATAGTATACCTATACTTTTGTATTGTTTTTATAGTCCCAATGAGTGTTCAGGCTCAAATTCAACAAAGCCAAGCAATTAAATCTGAACAACCTCCTATTGCAAAACGTAAGTAGTTTTGTTAAACATTCAAAATTTAACGACATGTAATTTAAACTAATTGCTTCTGTTTGTTGTAATGATTCATACTCTACTGTTATTGGTATTGAGAGTTAGATCTGTAAACTCTGTATTAGTATATGCGGTGCTCGAATGAATAGCTCAAATAATTACTGATAGTTATAAGGTTATTATAGCTTACGTTTAAAGCACATGTTTTACATTCCATGGTCAACCACTATCCAAAATTATTTACTGTGATTCTTTTTATGTTAAATTTACGTTGTTTGACTGTTTATCATGTGTTAATCAATATTAAATGGAGATCCTCATCCTATTAAGTTTGATATGCAAAACCAATTTGTATTATTTTTTTGATTTTATAAGTATTACTTATCACAAAATAATGTTAACTTAGCAATTTACTTATATGAACGCTAAAGGGCATTATTTCTATCAAGACTTGATATTCAATTAACTACAAACCTTCTACTATTAATTATTTGATAAATGGATAATTTTTTGGTTTCTATCATCATATTTCATATTTATTATGGACATATATGTATATTAATGAATACCCATTGAAAATATGTAACTTAGATATTTCTAAGTGCATAAATTCTTACCATTTGGATTTTGCAATAGTTACAATTTGAAGAAATAATTTCTACTAAATACATTATTTGTAACTTATTTTTTGCAGCTACATCATCACCTTTGACAAAAAATTTTGTTACACCTCAAGTAACACCCAGAGCATCTATAAGCAAAGGTAAGCTGTATGGAATTTACATAAACATCTATGTTCTGTAATCAAACATAATATTGTGAACATTAAGGGATATTTTATTACGGTAATTTAGTATGATACATAGTTTTAAATTCATTGTATTCAAAATGGAATTATTGAATAAATTAAAAAAACAGAACCATATCCGTTAAGGGAATTAGGGCCAACCTCTCATCCTTCCTTGGCCCTAAATAAATTAACTTATTAACTGACAAATATTACAAAGCAGCTAACTTAATAAGATGCCATTAATATATAGGTATTAAGAATAGGAATGTTGTTGATAAGTATTATTACAGAATGAAAGATATTCTTGATGTTAGGTAATTAGTGACAGATGGCAATAACCCTAGATTTTTATTTTTGCACACTTCTGTAATCGCTAGTCAATCTTACAGTTAAACTTAAGAAAAATGAATCGTTCTGAAAGATCGAAATCGCCATAAACAAGAACTCAACCATGATTACTACCTATGAATTGAGCGTATTGAATTTGACATTCTTTAGGAATAAAAATCAACAAACTAATCAGTCATTGAACAGAAGTAAATATCATTTGATCTAGTTACTAACTCTGATTAAAAAATATCTTCTATTTTTAAATTATAGCCGCTAAATTGACTACATTTGATAAAACAGTATTTTACAATCTATTTCTTAGTTTTAATCCGTAAAACTATCTTTAATCATTCTAAAAATCTATTAAAGTTTACCAATTTAAATTACTAAGCCATATAATTAAGCTTAAAATACAATCAATAGAATATAATACTTATTTAACAATGATAAATTAAATAAATAAATCATTGAAGTAAACAATTCAATATTTAAACAGTATTGTTAATAAGTAAATTAATAAATTATATCATATAAATCTTCTAAGTGGAAAAGAACAATGTTAGTTATTTCGGTTAAATATTAAATTAAAACATGTATTCATATACAATAATAATAATTATTATTATTAAAACCATATATATGAAAGAATCCATAAAACATTCAAAACTACTTGTCATGTCTATCATATTAGATCATTAAGAAGCAGACTAAAACAATAAATAAATAATCTTTCTTTGTTATTCTTATTTTAAGTCAATTTCAACGATGTATTGACATAAAAAAGTTTATTTATTTATTTTTTGTTAAATAAAACTTTTTTCATGACAACATCTTGTGCCAAAAATATAAATAAGATTAAAGTAACAACCACACTTAAAGTGCATAAACATTTATCAGAAGTATTATACTGTTATATTTTGTTAACATTATTATTATCAATAAGATTACTATAATCAAATCTTTATGTATTTTAAGAAAACTTTCATTTTTTATTTTATTATTAGTTTCTGAATCAGATAAAGATCATACTAAAAAACTTGGTCGTCTACCTAAATCTTTCCAATGTGATTGTTGTCAACATGTTACTGTGACTAGAATAACATATCATGTTGGCGTTTTAACATGGCTTATGGCAGTGTTAATTTTTTTATGTGGGTAAGTTGTATATAAACCTTTTTTTAAAAAACGAAACAAACAAAATTTCATGAAATGATTCATCAAACAAATAATGATTAGAAAAATTTTAAAAATATTATTTTGAATGAATTTATTGATTTGACATAGTTAACATGGCCTATAACAGTAATAGGTTTTTTTAATATAAGGTGCATTTGGGCGAAATCTAACGATCATTTCAATGAATTAATTAAGTACAGTTACAGTGCAGTTAATATTACTGTTAATAATTCTTATCCAAAAATGAAAAAAATACTCATTACGTGTTTCCAATGTTAAATGAAATTTGTAATATTTACCAAGTTGGAAATGAATACTTATTCAAAAATTTCAAGTTTTTTTTTAAATCATCTATTAAATGAGTAATAGCTTACTTTATTTTGGAATCTTCAAGGATCTTTGTTCATCTGAAATGTCTTATTGAATATATGGATTGTGTTCACTTTCCTATCTATAGGGATACTACCCCTAACTCAGGGTCTGAAAAGTTGGAAATATGAAATTTTCGCATATGCGATAAAAATGATCTTGGTGGTCTAGTTATAATATTCCGACACCAGACAATTGGCTTGAAGCGTTATTTAAGCCCTAACGCTTCAGGTTGGGCTATTTTGCTTACTACCCTACATATGTGTTGCATGCAGTATAAGCTATATGGCTATGTAGAGCTGAAGGTCTCATATGAGGCTGGAGGTTCGTCATTGGTATTGTGGATGGCTCAGCAATGCGTTAGCAAGTTTGTTGACTGTTCATGCACAAAATTGGTTTGCTGGTTAACTGCTTTCATTCATACTGGTGGCTGCTTTTCAGAGTTCTCAAGGGCCATTGTCGTTGGGACATTGTAAGGCATGTCGCTATTGCTAACATTAATAAGTTTGACTGTCGTGTAACCAGGATAGGTCAACTTTGGCCCGTTCGTGCTGTGCATAATTGATTCACGCGATCATTGATCGGAATAACTACACATGTGATGTAAATGTGTATATGAATGGTGCGAATGGTCCACCAGGGTGCTTGGTACCTGTGTGGTTACGCCACAGGATTGAGCTGTACTATTCAGATCTTAGCGTTAAAGCCTGTACGGTGTCTGGTTCTCCTGTGAAGCGGGATTGAGCTGTACTGTTCTATCTATAAAATTTAAGCCTGGGCGGTGTCTGGCTCTCCTGTTAGACAGGGCTGAGCAGTACTGTTTGGGTTGTCACGTGAAAGTCTGGACGGTATCTGGTTCTTCTGAAAACCAATGTAAAATTACCCTTGCTCACAAGGGTATATTATATAACTGTGAATATATAAAGACAATAAGAGATTTACAATCATGTCATCTATTTTACACAACAAAAAATCGTCAATAATATAGGTATTCTTAAATCATTCTGAATAAATAAGGTAGTCTTGTACAAAATTATTGTTATGTTTGGCAGGGATTTTCATAAAGGATCAATAATAACTAAATATCCACTGAAAATCAAGAAGCCTTTGATATCTGTTTTGTTCTAGTTTGCGACTAATCATCAGTGCATTGTAAAGATCATACAATGATCTTCATGTCTTACCGTGAATTTTGTAACATTAACGTGACTGAGTGAATACTAAATGGTGTATATTTTAGAACAATTTTACTTAAAAAATTTATAAAACCATACTAGTCATTGCTTAGCAGGTGGATTTCACAGTTTCAGTTGTTGATCATAACCTGTATATTCAACCAAGTGGATAATAAACCGGTGACTTAATGATAATATTGAATAGGAATTACAAGAGGATTCCAATTTTTACAATTGGTCATTTGTAAGTGGAAAGAAAAACAACATAAAGAAATTTGTCTTCATAAACATTTTAGAAATGATCAAGAGTAATGTTGCATCAATATCTTGTATTTCAGTCAAATTGTACAATTAAAATATAGAAATTAAAAAACTAGTATGCTAAATGAATAAAGTTAGTATTTGAAGTTGAATGATAGTTGAACAATCAAGTGTATCTAATCAATATTTTATTGTGTGAAACTAAACAAACTGCATGTACAAACAGAACTCAATGAAAATTCAACAAAAATATTTGTTACTTTAATCTGTTTTTCTTTTCTGTATTAATTTATAGTAAATACTGAAAAAATCAGTATATAATCAGAAAGAGGTTTTGTGAAGATTGTAGTAATTAAATAATTGAATCCATGAGGCATTTGAAGCCAAATCACCATGCATAACCTGGAAGCACTGGACGGCCGTTTCGTCCTAGTATGAGACTCCTCAGCAGTGGGCATCCACGATCCCACCTTGCGAGACTCGAACTTGGGACCTATCAGTCTCGCACGTGAACGCTTAACCTTTAGACCACTGAGCCGGCATCCAACGGTGCTAATGTCCAACTTCAGTATATTGTAAGATTTAAATCTAAAGTACCATTAATTGACTTATTTAACAAAGTTGAAAATTCACAGTTTAAACGAATACTGTTTATGATACTGAATTTTATCTGTAGAAACATTTAGTGAGGCTTGTATTAATATTTCAATATCAATGATGTCGACGTTAGGCAAACAAGTTAATCTAAACACTGTACTAATCTATATGTGTGTATGACTTTTCAATGTTTATCTTTTGAAATTATTGTTATTCCTCCAATATTAATAAATTATTATACTTTTAAAACATAAAAGATGTCAGTTGATCACTGAATACTTGATCATGAAACATGATTCTCTAGTTTCTGCGAATTTCATTGCAGTTTGGCCAAAAATTAGTAGTTTAAGTCTCTCTAAAAATCTTACATTTAAAATCGTTTCATAGAATTTTCAGTTTTATGAATGAATATCAATTTATTATGTTTACTAGTAAAACTTCTTCAATTTTAATCGATCAGATGTTTTAGCAACCAGTCATTTATGAAATGCTAACTAATTAAAATTTTGTTAGACATAGTAGTTACATATATACCATGAGAGTTTTTCAGTACGTTTTGATTTTACTTGATAATTAATCGAAAATTTAGTCAAGACTTATCCATGTTTGTTCTTATGACATCAGCTGATATAAATTTTAGTTAACAAATATAGAATTCAATAACATTAAATATTCCTCTTTTTATCTTTTATTTCAATAATCATTAAATATAACAGTGGCGTTCTAGGCTGTTTTCTGATACCATTCTTTACAAATTGTTGTAAAGATGTTAAACATGAATGTCCATTCTGTGGTACAGAAATCGGTATGGTTAAATGCATCTAAATGTTTTTTTACTGAACAATGAATAGAAGTACTTACTTGATTGAAAATCAGTTACATCATATGAACACATACCATATTTGCGTTTAATATATAAATATATTTTTTACTTGTGTTCTGTGGAGAACAATTTTTATTAAAAGTAAATACACTAATCTCAAACAAAAACAAATACATGTATTACTTCGAAAGAAATGAAATAAAAAAACCCAGAGACTTTTTAATTATAACACAAACACTGATTTCTTATTTCATTGTATTATGTATAAATCAAAAATTAATAGTAATTTGTATCTAATAATATTGTAAACATAAAATTCTATTAAATATTCAACATTTAACATTTAATTAATCATTGTAAGTTTACTTCTTACTATTGAAAAGTGTTGATATTTTAATGAACAATAATTTATTTATTATTATCACTATTGGATTTGAATTGACAATTGTATCTTTGTGTTAATGTAGTATGGTAACTTAAACTGATATACGTACGTACGAAATTCTACGTTGTTGACTAACTGACTGACATATGTACTCATGAAACTATTCTATTTTTTATTTTCTTCTAAATATTTCATTTTAATATGAAAACAATTTTTTTAAAAAAAACTGAAAATAGAAACAAAAGTAATATTTGATATTATTTAAATTGAATTGAAATGTACTTCCGTTTTTTTATTTTTCAATTTCGTTACGTATATGTATCTGTTGTTTAATTGTTTGCCTTCAATGGCTTCTTCATTACTAAATGTATTTATGCAATGTATTTTTTTCAATGATCAGATAAGTTTTAATGTCTTAATAAAGAACTAATAAATTTCATGATAATTGTAATTCATCTATTTCTTATAGTTAACTTATTACAAAAATTTATAGTTTCAATGGTCTCACTTTCTCAAGTTAACACTATTTATATTAAATAAAACAGTAATATAGTTCCTGAGTAGTTTACTTTCATTTTTCAAAAAAAACCGTGGAAGTAAAATACCGGCGCGAAGACTAGCCTGTATAATTTGTGCTCAACAAAAATTTAACCAAAAAAATCTCTGCTTTCGTTATTATTGTATGATTGTTTTAGAAAAATATAAGATTTATCACTATGGATCAATATACTTACTCATTTATTTTTTTAGTGAAGTGATGTATATTGTATACTCAGGATTCTGAAGAAAACTATCTTCATAATGTCTCAAAATTAACTGAAGATGATTTCATTAACTAGTTTTAAGGTTTTTTTGAAAAATATCTCGGTATATTACGAAATATCAGCCCTACAGAAGGTCAGTTACAGCCCGTATAGCTCAGTAGTAAAGTCTCTGACTGTGAGGCTGGGTGCCACGTAGTCAAATTCATCAGCTAGCATCAGTTTCTTCAAGATTACAGTTACACGTTGCTAAAGAGAGCCAAATAGCATGAAGCCTACGTTCAGAGTTTCCTTTCGACTACCTCCAACTACTATCTTATATTGCTAGTTTCATGGAGGGGTAATCTGTGGTATTTGTATGAATTAATGATTATTTTGTATTCAACTGCCGGTTGATTTCGAATTCTATTTGGTTTAACTTGCACTATTTCGGAATTCTTGGTTAATACAATAATTCGGATACTTTCAATTATCGTATAGTGGTGCCAGGATGTGAAACCATATAGTCGGGCCTAAATAAAAGTATATACATAGTCCTACTTTGCATACTTGAGGTATATTTTTACGGCTTGTTCACATAAGATAATAAGTCCTGATCTCTCGGATAGTTTTCTGCTTCCAAGAAGTTATGAATATTCGCCCCACTTATGCAGTTGGCTAGCATTATTTGCACGAAACTAGACGGGCAATCAGTTTGACGTTGTAAGATATTAGAATAAAAGTAGACTACTTCAGTAAGCTGCTGCATATTGAGACTGGGAAACTGGAGTTAACAGAGAAGAAATACGAGGTTAGAAGCATAAACTATACTGGGATTCTTGCTGAGACAATATCGAACGATCTTGAACTCAAACGTCTTTAAGTATCGTGTCAGGAAGAAAAACACTAAAGGCAACCGTAGCAATAAATAAATCCTTAAACTAAATAGTTCTGTAAGTCTTTGACATTGATACTGGCCTAATTAGTTCGTTTCTGACTTTTGATTTGACTGAGTTGGCATACTTCGATTATAAAATTGTTACGTGTAAAGGCGTTATCAGACCCCGAATACCTGCGGAATCATTATAATACTTGATAGGAGAAAAATTCCGTTTTAAAAACGACGGATGTACGCTGTAAGAGGTTACTGAGGCAACTGTTCATAAAGTTTATCATGTAACAGTATATTGTTTTATGCGAGTCAACCACTTATTACAAACAGTGTCAGTCGTGACCAAAGGCTATTTTATTTTCTTGTTTACTCTTTCAGAAAAACAATTATATATATATATATATATATATATATATCTGCAATGGTAGGTACACTCCATTTTTACAGGCATGATCTATAAATTACAACATGTATTGTTACACAGTATGCATGTTAAATAAATGTAGTCTACAAAAATGAATGAACATCTAATCGGTATCTATCAACGCAGGTAAGTGTATTATCACTCCTATACATAGATCCGAAATTGCTTAGTGCTGTGACTCCGTTACCGACATCTATCTAATAAACACTTTGTATCAGACCTTAATATCTAGTTATCAGGTGTAGTGGACTACTTAACAGGACTATTCTAGAAAGCAAACGCACTTAACATGGGTCTAGGCTAAACCTTGTCAGATTTTACCACAAATGTCGTGATCCCAACGTGAAGTGATATATGATATATGATTAGGATGTATCATGTCACTCGGTTATTTTTAACTCAATTTACCACCTATGACTCCACATTAAGCATCACAAAGTAAGATATTTGCCTTAAATAGTACACGAAAAACCGCCCAAAAGTCGTGTAAACTTTTGGAGGTTAGAATAACTAAGTCGCGAAATTCCCAAAACAAAGTGAAAAGTCAGTAGCCTCTTCTGCTAATTCGGAACTCAAAAGAGCTCAGCGTTCTGCCAGAATCCGTGTATTTTAATGAATTTCACTGTAAATTTTAATGTAAGACCACTTGTCCCACCTTCAACTAAAGTTTTTACCAATCGTATTTAGAAAGAACGAAACAAAATTTAGATATCTATCTACCCAGGATCTACTACTACTACTTATGGAAACAGAATTACTATACACTTATAAACCAAAACCTGATCCAAAAAAATTATAGGTAGTACTAAGCTATGTGAATCTAAGGTTTCAATTCCGATAAACATATCAACGCCAAACAAAGCCTGAGTAGTGAAGATGATGTGATCAAGAGACATAATGAGGTAAATGATTAGCTTACATTTTCGCCCAAGAAAAGGACTGCAGAGACGAGAAGATTCTAGGAAACAAAGCTCCACGACGTCTTAAGACAGAAATCACTGACATGTCAGTCATTCCTTATGGGTCAAGAGAATCTTCTGAAAACAAACCAGAGGCTAGATTTAAACACGACCTAAGCACAGACCAGATTGCGACACTACGGATCATCGTCGAACAATCAATTGAGTGGAACTCGTCACTCTACATCAACTTCATTGAATATGAGAAGGCATTTGACAGTGTAGATAGGAGGACGTTATGGAAACTTCTTCGACACTACGGAGTTCCTGAGAAGATTGTCAACATTATCCGAACTCATACGATGGACTACAGTGCAAAGTAGTGCATGGAGGACAGCTGACTGACGCATTCCAAGTAAGGACCGGAGTAAGACAAGGCTGTCTACTCTCTCCCTTCCTCTTTCTTCTGGTGGTCGACTGGATCATAAATACCTCGACATCTGAGGGAAACTACGGCATACGATGGACAGCTCAGAACCAATTAGACGACTTGGACTTCGCAGATGACCTAGCCCTCCTATCACATACACACGAACAAATGCAGATAAAGACAGCCAGCATAGCAGCCGTCTCTGCATCAGTAGGCCCCAACATACACAAAGGGAAAACCAAGGTCCTCAAACACAACACGGAGAACAGCAATCCAATCACTCTTGATGGCGAAACTCTGGCAGATGTGGAATCCTTCACATACCTGGGAAGCATCGTCGATAAACAAGGAGGTTCAGATGCAGACGTCAAGGCGAGGATTGGCAAAGCTAGAGCGGCATTCCTTCAACTGAAGAACATATGGAACTCAAAACAACTTTCAACCAATATCAAAGTCAGAATCTTCAATACCAACGTCAAGGCAGTTCTACTGTACGGAGCTGAAACTTGGAGAACTACAACAACCACCATCAAGAAGGTACAGGTATTTATTAATAGCTGTCTACGCATGATACTCAATATCCATTGACCGGATACCATCAGCAACAGCCTTTTGTGGGAGAGAACCAACCAGCTTCCAGCTGAAGAGGAAATTAGGAAAAGACTATGGAAATGGATAGGACATACATTGAGACAAGCGCTAACTTGGAATCCTGAAGGGAAGCGGAAAAGAGGAAGGCCAAAGAACACATTACGTCGGGAAATAGAAGCGGATATGAAAAAGATGAATAAGAACTGGAAAGAGCTTGAAAGGATTGCCCAGGACAGGGTTGGATGGAGAATGCTGGTGAGCGGCCTATGCACCTTCACGAGGAGTAACAGGCGTAAGTAAGTAAGTAAGTAAAGTAAGTAAGCCACATTTTAGATCTTAATAGGCAAGTAACTTCCAGAACCTGTATCAGCAGTTAGCATCTGTAAGCTTTATAGAATAGGACAAAAAGTGGATCCCGTAAGTACGTAGAAAAGCCGTCTCTTAACAGTGACAGCTGCTTGAAGAAAGAAACCTAATACTGAAAAACTCAAGCAAACTAACTGGATCCGAAATATATATCCATAAGGATCTCAGCCTGGTTGATCTTATTGAAAGACGATCGACAAATGTAGAAATAAACGAGCTCCAACCGAACGGTGAGTAAAACCTAACAATTCAGGGTCTTCCCACTGTACAGGCTCAGAGAAAAACAGTCCGCAAAACAATTTAGGTGATAAGAGAAAGTCCTTCACAGAATTGGAAGTGTTCTATACAAATGCTCTCAGCCTACAAAATAAAATGGCGGGGCTCGAGACAATTGTAGACATAGAAAACTCTGATGTCATCGCCATCTCCCAAATATGGTCAACATCGAAAGTGTGTGGTAGTGATTTGTGTGCCTGCTAAGTGAAGCTGATAGATGTAACTGTAGGAGAAGTGGGGTTACCCCATGCACGAAAAGTACCTTAACCATAGGAGCTATCGAGACAGTGGCACATGATTCAAGGACATGTGAACTAGTGCATTGCAGGCTAGAATATGGATGGCAAGTTATTGAATTGGTTGTAGGATACCTCAGTTCAGAACGCGTAGTAGATGACTTCCTCCCACGCAAACTTGAGTCCCGTTGTAATAGAGCTAAAAGCCTTACTATAGGCTGCTTCAATTCGCCATATATAAACTCGGACAATTTATAAGTAGGATTACCAGCAACATCATTTGATTGCAAATTGTTAGAAATCACAATCACTCTAGCTACATTCCAGCATATTAGAAATCCCCCCAGATATGACCCAATTTTCACACACGGTGATAGTGTTGATCACGCGACTTTCCTCCTACTCCTGTGGTGAAGTGATCATTTTGTCAGACTACTCAAGACTATGACTGAGATGGTCTGTAAAATAGTTGTGTCGTCCGTCTTGGCATATGATAGTGACAATACGAAGTTTAGTGGCCCGAGATCTGACTTCAATTTGGTGTATATATAATCAATGACTTAAACCGTGTTAGTTAATAACGGAATTAATTAAGTCAACTTACGAGAATGGAGTTTTGAATGCATATATTTTGTATAATTGTTGATTAGACAAACGAACGGAGGAACGATGCGAAGATGAGAAAGCGAAGCTAAATTGGCGCGCGGTGGAGATGGCTGGTAAACCAACCCTCTGTTAACCAAGCGTTAATCAATATTTATAAGCACACAAAAATAAATTACAGACATGTGATGAGTAATGGGATAAGAAGTGTACATACACCTACGCGCTCATATAAAGACGGTCAAGATATTGATAAGCGAATAAATAACAAGGTCAGAATGTGACTCAAATAGAATGAATAGAATGGGCTGTCCGAAAGTTAGAATAATCAGGTATTTGGGCTTAACATAATGACAGACACTACAGATTCTTACTAGAACCATCTACAACCATATCTTATAAAATATCAACCAGGCTGAGTAATTTACTGCAGTGAAAATTGTATCTTTTGTAACAATTTCATCTTGCCTGTAAACTGGAAAACCGCAAGTAAAAACGTCATCTGAGAATAAATTATTATTATTATGGGGAAGGCAGAAATGAAGGCGATCAACTCTGTAGTATCGGCCAAAAACTGGATATTTGACTCACCGTCGTGGACCCATTTCGGGCAGTTATACAATCACGTAACTTAATCATATATGCCCTGAACAGTCCCAAAGAATAAGAGGCACGGTCATCCCTGGATTGACCAAGATATTCGACGTTTACTTAGACAAATGAAGAAATGTTGGAACATTGGCATCAGTCTTGGCACAGCAAGTGTGATCGAAAGCTACAGGTCGGTAAGAAATGAGTGTATAAGTAAAATTCAGAAGCTCGGTAGGAATATGGAATGCAATTAACCCAGTCTGTAATCAAGCAGTTTAAGAGACGACTTCCATCGAACTACAGACCTGCAAGCCTCACCTGTGTCGTAGTTAAAATACTGGTAAGAATGATCTAAAAGACGATAATGGCATTCGTGGAAACCAACAACTTATTAAACGGCAGACAACACGGCTTCATGAGAGATTTATCTTGCACAGTAAGTCACTTTCTGGCAAAGGAGTAATAGATGGAGGCTCTAAACAATACGAAATCAGTGGATGTAGTGTGCACAGACTCACAAGAATCTTGGGGTGATAGTAAGTCATAATCTTAAGACCATAGACCACTGCCGGAAAGCTGCAACTAAGGGGTTTAGAACCCAATGGGACTTAGGATAGATATTCATCAAGTTAGATATTGCCATGTTCAATACACTATACAATTCCTTAGTGAGAAATAGGCTTGAGAACCGCGTTCAGGCTGCAAGCCCCTGTTTAAACGGTGACTCGGATATCCTGGGCAAAGTAAAGAGGGCATAAAACCGTGCAATTCCAGAACTCTGTGTTTTACTATACAAAGAGCGACTTGAAAAGCTAGACCTCTTTACTCTATGTTACCTCAGATTAAGAGGTGACCTGATTTTCATGCATATAACATCTAGAAATGATTTTGGACTTCATATACCCTTCACTTTACCTTCTATCAGATCTGGACGACTCAGAGGACATAGCGAGCAATTACAAAAGCCAAGAACGAACAAATCACCTGTAACATACAAGGTTACACACGGAGTCATCTATACTTGGAATATATAACCCAAAGTAGTGTTGTCCTTATCACCAATTAACCCATTCGAAAGAAGACCAGACTCTCACATAAACATAATAGAGACGGAATAACATAGGCCATAGACGTCCTGTCCTTACTACACAAATCTAAATAATTTGAATTGAACGTTTAACAGCAACCGTAAATGGTTTTGAGGGTGGCTTTATGTATTACATCGCTACGGTCTCATTTTTCTCATGAATAATTCTAGACCAAATGAGTTACTAGTTAACAATTTCAAAATACCTAATTGGTAAGAGCTTTTGCTACAAAGCTTTTGACACTGTTTTTCTGAAATATAGGTCAGGTAAACCCCCGCCGGGTCTACATCTAGATGTGCTCAAAGATGGGAAATTGATTCAGGTAATTGATATTCTGTCTGTAGCTAAATAGCATAGAAACTTATAATAGATGAAAAAAGCTGCTACTTTTTCGGTAGAAATAAACAGTTATGCGACTTTGCGGTGGATCATCAATCGTGCTCACGTGTGCATGCAGTTTTGGTATGGCACAAATTCTTGAGTCGTGCGTTCCTAATTGACCTCGGAAGTGTCCATGGAACTTTTATTGGTAAAATTAGGTTAGAACCACACAAACCTCAACAGGTCAGTTTTATCTACTTTACATCTACTGGTCCCTTTATAACAAGTAAACTGAAACTGTTGGATTTAGATTTGTTTATTAATAACAAAAGCCCAAATGTCTGTGTTAATTTTTTCTGATAAGATTCTGTAAGTGTCCAGTCTTATCCTGTGTAAACCAATTGAAAATGCGGATATCAATCCCTCCACCAATAGGTTGCAAGAGCTAGTTACGTGGTGGGAAAACCAGTTTGCAACAAATATTTTGTCCATCCTTCGGTTCCGGGTGTGCCTGCTATATCCTCTAAATTGTCTAAGCCTACTTAGAATAAGATAAGTCGTGGAAACTACTTCCATAAATTATGTCAGTCGTTAGGAAAACTCGACGCAGACTCATTATACAAGCATAGTGTAAGCATTTGGTGTTTTTTACCGTTTGATTTTGACAACTGAAATTAGGGTGCTGGCAATGATTTTCAAAAAGTAAAGTTATTAAAGGTTGACTGTTTCAGATTGGTACTTACATTATTATTATTATTATTATTATTATTATTATTATTATTATTATTATTTTAACACATAGATATCGGTACAAGAAGGCACCAAATACATATGCGCCACACAAATCTCATTTGATATGTGTGAGGGCTGTGATACTGCCCGGGTGCCCAAACCGAAGCAGGTGGTTTTCTTAGGGGGGCCACACCCCGAGCCTTTGACCTGAAGATCTGATCCACAAGGCAGTGGAGCATCGTGAGGCGATGCAGTCCCATGGTAGCCGGTGACCGATGATTGGTTCATACGCCATTTGTTCCCACAGGATACTGGAGCCCATGTGCACCATTGATTTGGGATCCGGTTATAGCGCCGGACATTCGCTTTTCGTCCTCTCATTTTCGTAAACAACACTCCCGCCACGAGAAGACAGTGAGTAGGACTTCCCTGGCAGGTAGTTTGATTTTTCATACTTCACAAATGTACTGAGAAAGAAATGAAACGTCTAAAATGAGCAAGAGTGTGGATAAATAAGGAATATGTTAGTGAAGTGATACGTTACTTATGATCTGCGATAAAATAAATTTCAGATGTCTGTTATAGGTTATGTCATTTAGGTCTCTAACCATTATATGTACAACAAAAAACGATCGGTGTAATGAGGTATACGTGTAGTGTTTATCAGATGACATAAACAGTATCACTAAAATCATATTACATTCGTTTTATTCGGTGCTTCTTACAGTTATCTAAAAACATGAAGTATATAGCACGATTGCCATATGTACCTACGCCGAATCACCATGAAACCATATCTCCTAACATCGCTTCACTGCCTCGTGGACTGGACTTCTATGTCAAATGCTTGGGAAGTGGCCTCCTAGGTAGGCCACCTACTTCGGTTTAGGCACCCGATAGTATCCCAATCCACACAAATATTGTGACACATTTGTGCTCCTGTATGGGGTACTAGGGAAGGGGCAGCCAAACCAAAGTATGGCATCAGTCCTTGGAGTCATCAACCATTGGACTGAGATATGGTGACCAACTCTCTGCACAGATTCAGAAAGCTCGTTTGGTTTTTGCCAACTTACGTCACCTATGGCGAAGGCGAGATATCTGTCCATCAATTAATGGAAGAGTAAACTGCGCAGCAGTTCGTTCAGCTTTACTTAACGGCTGCAAAACGTGGTCATTAAGAGTAGAGGATACCCGTAAGTTACTAGTATTTGACCACAGATGTCTTAGAAAGATTGCTCACATCCGCTCAAATCACCAGGTAAGTAATAGTGAGGTTAGACGCAGAGTATTGGAGAGTGATAGTAAATCAGTTGATTATGTTGTAAATCTTCACCGACTGAGATGGTTGGGTCACGTGTTACGTATGCCTGGACACGGGCTACCACTGAATGGTGTTGCAGATGGACGGAAGAAAGTTAGGGGCGGCCAAACAAAAACGTGGCATTGGTCCTTGAAGTCACTAACTTCTGGTCTGAGTCATACTGGTAGATGCAGACCACTTGGTTGGGGTCCGCACAACTGTCGTAACCAATGGTTAGAGACCCTGGGTGACATAGCTGCGAATCGACCACAATGGCGTAGGTGCATACACCCTTAAAATTGCTTTATAGCTTTATTTCTACGAACCAATTCTTTCTTCCTGCATCATATCCCTATATCAGTCAGTCAGTCAGTAACAACGTGGAACTTCGTACGTACGTACATCAGTTCGAGTTGCCATACCACATTAGCACAGAGATTCAGTTATCGATTCAAATCCCATAGTGGTAGAGGTACTGAAAGTATAAGTAGTAATAGGGAACATTAAGGTTTGATGATGTTATTAAAGGAGTATAGTCCAGTGGAATAAATTGGGAAGGAAATAAAGGACATGAAGAATTCAGAAGATTAGAGTTTGAGAGAACACAAAGAGTGGATGCACCTGCGCCATTGCAAACGATTCAAGGTCTCTAACCATCGGTTGCTATCATCTCGCGGTCCCCAACCAGGAAGTCTACACCTACCAACATGACTCAGTCCACTTGTCAGTGACTTCATGGATTTGTGCCATGTTTTGGTCTGGCCGCCCCTAGATTTCTTCCAACCTACTCCTACACCATAAAACATAGCACGTCGGGGCAGTCGGTGGTCGGGCATGCGCAACACATGTCCCAGCCATCTCAACTGATTAAGTTTCACTACTTCCTCAATTGATTTGCCATCCTTACCTAGTACCCGTTTCCTAACAACTGAGTTACCTACTCGGTGGTCCCAGGATATACGAGCAATGTTTCGAAGACATCTATGATCAAATACTAGTAACCTACGAATATCCTCTACTCTTATCGGCCATGTTTCACTGCCATAAAGTAGGACGGAACGAACTGCTGCGCAGTAAATACGTCCTTTGGTTGATAGACGGATATCTCGCCTACGCCACAAATGACGCAAGTTGGCAAAAGCTAGTCGAGCCTTTTGTATCTGTGCTGAGATTTCGTCACACACCAAACCACAAAGGCTGATGAGACTTCCGAGATAAGTGAAGCGGTCGACACGCTCAACTACTTCACTCCCTATCACTAGTCCGGGTGTCGACGCAACCCAATCCTGAAGTAACATTTTGCATTTCGAGGGAGAGAATCGCATGCCGAACAGGCTTGCATTGTTGCTTAGAGTGGTCAACAGACTCTGCATTCTGTCAGCGTCTTCACCAAATAGGACTATGTCATCGGCATATTCTAAGTCAACAAGTGGATCTCCCGGTAGAAGTTCAACTCCTGGAAATTTAGATGAGGAAAGTGTCATCTCTAAAAGGACGTCAACGACAAAGTTAAACAAGAATGGAGAGAGTGGACAGCCTTGACGAACACCACTTGAGGTAATCAATTCTGATGACAGTTCACCATAAGCTCTCACTCGACCAGTTGTGTTCGAGTAGAGAGCTTTTATAAGGTTGACGTACTTCTTTGGTACTCCTTTCAGTGACAAACACTGCCATAGAACCTCACGGTCAACAGAGTCAAATGCCGCCTTAAGGTCGAGAAATACTACGATTATGGGGCGTCTGAATGTGTGTCTATGTTCTAAGATCTGACGTAGTGTGAATATCTGATCTATGCAACCACGTTCATGTCAAAAACCAGCCTGGTTTTCTTTAGTCTGCTCTTCACGAGCTTTGGTTAGACGTCGAAGTATTATTGAAGCTAATATTTTAGACACTATATAAGTCAAACTGATTTCTCTGTGATTGTCACAAGAGGACTTTTGTTCTTTTTAGACTGGCACAATCAGTGATTGAGACCAGTCAGATGGAATTAGGTCCAGTTCCCAGATTCTACCTAAGACCTCAGTCATTCTCGCTGTTAATGCTGGACCGCCGTCCTTAAAAATCTCAGAAACAGACCTTTCAGGGCCTGCTGCTCTACCACGCTTCAAATTTCCTATAGCTTTTTCAACTTCGTAAAGACTCGGAGGACTTACATTTACTTGCCATTCTGGTAGATTGGAGATCGTGGGAAACCGAAGTGTGGCTGAAGGCCAGTTGAACTGATCCCTAAAGTGTTCTGCCCATCGATCCAATCTCCTGGATTGAGAATGAATAATATGTCCATCTTTCTCTGAGATTGTTTCGCTAACAGTTGGGTTCCTAATACCGGTTTCCTTAACAAGTCTGAACAGTTGTCTGCTGTTATCTATTGCCGCTGCCTTTTCCATCTCTCTTGCTTTCGCTACCCACCACTGTTCACAATCATTGAGTAAGCTTCTAGTCAGATTACACTTAAGCTGACTCCGCTCTTCGTTATGTTCAGAGCTAGATGGAATGAGTTTACGAGCATCTATCAGTGAGGTAGACGCTGCTGAGATCCAGTGTTTCTCCCTAACCTTATGGTTTACCGTACTTGCTGACATCACTGCTGTTTCTACAGCTTTTCGGATGTCATTCCATGCTGCCTCGGGGTGGGTATCACTTACATGGCTGCCTAACTGTTTTTCTAGATGTTCCTGAAATATACTCTTAGCTTGACTATCATTAAGTAGGACCCTAAGGGGTTTCCTTACAGCATGTTTCCTACGTCCAGTAAGGAGTAGACAAATACGCGCTCGCACTAGAGCATGATCTGAGTCTAAGCATGTGTTCCAGAATGAGCGACAGTCTTCTATCGAGCCCCTCCATCGGTGGCTGATAGCGATGTGATCTATTTGGGTCCAGCGTTGAGACGAATTAGGGGGTCGCCATGTCAAAAGATGTTTTTCCTTATGCTTAAAGTTAGTGTTTGCAAGAAACAGGCGGTTATCTGAGCATAGCTGCAACAGACGGTCGCCGTTATCTGTTCTTTGAGCCGCGACATCATAAGATCCACCCAGGTGTCTTTCCTTTTCGCTTAGTTTACCAGCCACTATTACTACATCAGAGCGCCTAGCTTTTCGGAGAAGGTCGGAAAGCTTTCTGTAAAACTCATCTTTTACATCATCTGAGCTGCAGTTAGTGGGAGAGTAGGCAGAGACGACGAAGAGGCAACGACGAGTGTCCCTATCTTTTCGAAACCTTACTGTTCCGTTTAGTCGGACAGCACACAAACGACTGTCTACTGGGATCCAGTCTAAGAGAGCTAGTTCTGCCCTAGGACTCAATGCTATACCTAAGCCAGCGAGGCCACGGGAAGCAGCATCAGGGCTTCCAGATACACGAAGCGTAAATCGAGTTGGTTCGTTACTTTGACATGGTGCAGTCAAATGAATGACACTACTAGGATCCTGTGTGCGCGTTTCGGAGACGCAGCACACATCGATGGAGCGAGATTCCAAAGTCTTAGCTAAGGAAGCCTGTTGTCCTATTTGGCACAGTGTTCGGACGTTGAAAGCTCCTACGTGTAGTTTAGAGCGTGGTTTCAGGAGACCAGGAATAACATTCCGCGTACTCAAATCGTTCGCACTAGCGGGGCGAGGTGATAAAGGTACGTGAGAAGGGTTAGTCGTGGAGATAAGAGAGTTATTAGGAGGTGTAGGAAGGATTTGAATGTGACCAACTTGGTCTCGTGTGCTGTTACGGGTATGAGGGCTGATATCACTTCCCGGTTGCCCACACCGTGGAAGGGTATTTCTTGGGGGACCTGAAAAGGAAATCGGATTAGTGTTGGTCTTAGCGACCTGAGTGCGTGACCGCAGAGCCCAAGGGACAACTGCTTGAGGCCGGTCGCGCACGGCCTTTTTGTGGGAGGTTTTTAATGTGTTAGCTCCGTTCTTCAAAGGGCCTTACCGCCGGAGACGGAAATCCGTGGGGTAAGGTGAGGTGTGACATTTTTAGGGTCAACCTTTTCTAACCCCTTCCTTCCTTGTGAGAAGGCAGCATCGTTGCAGATGCTGGTTGTCCGAGGGAAACACCTTACTGCTGTCACACCTCTGTACAGTCAGCAGTACGACTTCGCCCTCAGACCTTGAGTTGCTGCTTTTAGTCTTACCGTTCTCCAATCGACCTGCCTGGCATGGTAGAACCTGCAGGAACTTGAGTTCCAGCCAATATAGCTCGGTTGGGTCATCACGATAGGCAAGCCCGACCACCACGTCAAGGTAGCAGCTACGGTCGGGAACAGTGCGCATCCACGATCCCGCACCCCGCGGGATTCGAACCCAGGTCCTATCAGTCTCGCGCCAGGCGCTTAACCAACTAGACCACTGAGCCCATATCCCTATATGCAATACTTTTTATCTATTAAAATCATTAAAGTAACTGCTTTTATGAATTTGGTGTTCATCTTGTGCTTATGAGGTGTGGCAACTTGGACCGATGCATATATGTGCCTGGTCCTACGTTGTGACTGACTGAGATATGGTAATAGGTATATACTACCTGGTTGGAGTCTGCTTGATTATCATAACCAGTGGTTAGAGATTTTAAGTGACGTGGTTCACATTCATTTGCGATAGCGCGTTTGCATCCATTCTTTGTCTTCCTTCAAATTTTGAGATTCCGATTTCCTCACAACTTGTTTTGTGTTTTTATTTTGTTGATTTATGTTTCCTGAATCCTATCTTTGATGTCCAGTCTTTTCAGCCACCATTGATACTGTTACTACTTCTACTATTCTGGAATTTAGCCCGACAATCTCATTTCTGTGCTAATGGGGTAATGCAACTTAAAGCGATTTACATACGTACCAGGCTCTCTACATTGCAACTGACTGACAGTCAGCAAATCTTGATGAACCACTGAATACTAACCTAATAAAACTATCCTTCGTCCCATACTTCTAAGTAACTGTCTTTTTTCCACTCAATACGAATAATATTAAGTAATTTTCAATACGCATTCTGTTGGGTTTTTACTTTTTCAAGACACCAAAAGCAGTATTTCGGGCTAAAAGCTTTTTGAATTACGGTTCTTTCTATTCCCGTGGATCGTTACCAAACCTCTGTTCCACTTATACGATGTTATCATCGAATCTGAGAAATGCTTTAAATGAGTTTATAGTCAAATGGTGAAGATTAGTAGCTTAGGTGGATGATTTTAATGGAGCTTTGTTCTTTGAGCCTGGATGGTTTGGTGGAGCTTTCATCGTTCTTCTGAACGACATGACCAGCACAAACTTCAGATATAAGTGAAGTGTTCGAATTTCTCCACATGTGGTTCACAGCTTGTCCTGTAGACATCGATGTTAATCGGTTCTTGTTGACCTTAAACTTGTCATTGTTTACTTCCTTGTTTTGGTTGTATCTCTCCTATGTTTGTGCATAATTTTCCTGATTGGTTTATAAATTGGATCGATTTCAATGTGCTTGTTGATTGACCTGAGTGTCAAGCTTTCAAAAATCACCGTCTAAAATTATTGACTTACTGAAACCACTTCTCATAAGCATACATGACTGCAGGTTACATAAAAATCTACCCCCATTTTCCGAGTTTGAGTGTAAAACTTACTGTGATCTTAAAACTTTTCTTAATGTATGTAGTCGATAAGCTAATTGTTTTTATTTGTAGGTTCCAATCGATTCTGAAATACATTTTGGTGCGTCTACTCGTGTTTATATCATCCGTGAACGTCCTAATCCTTTGTACAATATTTCTGGAAATCCTTCGGACCCGAACTCGCAAGCATTAGATGGCAATGGTACAATGGGTCCAGAAAATCGCAATTTGGATGGATCTGATACGGCCACAAATTCTTTGGGCCTACTCTACTCTCAACTTCCTCAATCCGAGGTTGAATTGGATAATTTAACCGAGTTTAACACAGCACATAACCGTCGTATAAGTAGCATGGTTGATGTTGCCTCTAATCCTACAATTCCTACTAACAAAGCACGTAAGAGACCACTGCAAAATGTGCATTTCAGTGACGCAGATGAGGTTATTAATCCTGAGGATGTTGATCCTTCGATTGGAAGATTCCGAAATCTTATACAGGAGACTTTCATACCAAATAAGGTAGTTATGACTATCCATTTCCAGTAACGATTAAATGTCAAAGTTTCTTCGTTGTCTTTATTTTCTTAGGGAGTTTATTCGGTCTAACTTATCAGATTTATGTACAAGGTAATGATTCGTGTCATTCTGTCTTAAATTATCCTAATAATGAAATACTATTAACTTGTAAAAGCAAGTAATATCTAAGCATTTCTCCAGTATTCCCATACCACACTGGAGGCTAATATTAAAATCGACATCCAAAGTGGAATATTGGTCTCATACTTATTTCCATCATTTTTTCCTGATAATTAATATAAAATACATAACGTAGGTTTAAGGTCCCTAAGCTACATTCCTTGACAATCCAGCCTCAAGTAAAAGATATCAGGCTGTTAATTCACCTTGCCGAAACAAATAGATAAAAGCCTTGTGCAGTTTTAAAACACGGTATTACTGTTTACAATTGAGCGGGCTAAAGCATATATACATTGACAGTAATATCATGTTATTGTTTTTTGTATATGATTGTAGTAGATATTTCAGTGTTTAAGGACTCATTTTAAATACTCTTCAAATTTCCAAATCACATGTAAGTCCTATATTGTATTAATTTTTTTTTGTCATTTAAAGCGTGCTAAAGGCAGTCATGAAGGTGCCAGCTTAGGTGTTGCAGCTCCAGACCTACCTGAAACTTTTCGAACAACTGGGAAAAATAATGTAGATGGGAATAACTCTGTTCATAACTCAGGAAGAAGTTTGATGCACATGAAAAACATATTTGGACCTCATTACAGTCTGGCTTCTAAGCTTGGTTTACCTGTGCCTAATCTTGCTCCAGATGTTGAAAGTGAACCTCAAGAGCCTACTTTACCACCAACTGTAGCAATGCTTCATGCCTATGCACATTCAAGACCTGGGACTTTAGGAAATGCTTTTTCAGATGGAAAAAGTACTGCGGGTGTATCTAGACTGAGTGCCAGTGACATCTTAGGGACTTCAAATGAACTGGATGCTGTTTCAGGTGCTAATCAGGATTCTGGACTAGATATGGGTCTTGTTGAAGCCAATTATCCTAAGAAGAAGAAGTACGCCAAAGAAGCATGGCCTGGTAAACGTCCAGGGTTTCTGGTTGGACCTACGACCTAGTATTTGTGCATATTTCCTTTCATTTCTAACAATTTCCGTGGTACCTTATATTTCGTCATTCTTGAATAAGATATCTGCCTTGTATATTCGTTCCATTAATGTTATTAGAAGTTTTACCATAATTGACCATGATAACGCTTTAATAATCGACAGAATGTACAAAACTTTACGAATACCAAGTTATAGCTTTTTATCAATCCTGTTAATTATCATAATTCACCAACTACTTCTGAAGGATTTTGTGCAAACGTAAAATACTTGATGTTTTTGCAAGAAATAAACCACTGTAAATACAATCACAATATTTTTATTTAAATAATATTCCCATTTTAGTAACAAATATCAGTTTTCTCAAAATACCATTACAAAATTACAGTACTTACTACATCAATAACAGTAAAGATATGTTGTCACTACGACTTGAAGTACTCTAAGATTTGCCAGAAATAGTCTCAAGGCACACCCCATGCATGAGTGGGTCAGAATTATAGTCCATACGTATTGAATTGCTCTTACATCTTAACTACACCCAGCTAATGACAAATTATGTGTCATGTTTTTTTTTGATAGAACTACTTATGCCTGTTACCCCTCGTCCATCGGCATTCTTCATTAAACTCTGTCCTGGACAATCCTTTCCAGTTGCTATTCATCCTTTTCATGTCTGCTTCCAATTCCCGACGCAGTGTTTCTTGGCCTTCATCTTTTCCGTTTACCTTGAGGATCCCAAGTTAGGCCTTGCTTTGTGATGCAGTTTAGTGATTTCCTCGTGTCCTATTCACTTCCAGCGTCTTTTCCTAATGTCTACCTCAACTGGAAGCTGGTTTGTTCTCTCTCAAAATAAGCTGTTGCTGGTGGTATTCGGCCAACGGATAGACTATTGTACTATTTTGATGATGGTTATTGTAGTTCCCCAATTTTCAACTCCGTACAGTACTGTCCTAATGTTTCTACTAAAGATCATGACTTTGATGTTGGCGGATAGTTTCCTTGAGTGCCATACGTCCTCCGACTGTAGGAGTGCTGTCGTTGTCTTGCCAATCCTTGCCTTTACTTCTGCATCGAATCCTCTTTGTTCATCGATGATGCTGCTCAGGTACATGAATGTTCCCACCTCTTCCAGAACTTCTCCACCAAGTGTGGTTTTGGTTGATGTTCTCCGTGCTGTATTTGAGGATCTTGCTTTTTCCCTTGTGTATGTTGAGGCTTACTGCTACACTGGTTATCGTTACCTGCATTTGTTGCAGTGTATGGGATAGAAGAGCTAGGTCCAAATCGTCTAGTCGCATCCAAGCTGTTCACTTCTCTACGATCGATTGCAGCCTCGTGAAACTGGTCTTTATCGTCGTCACTACTATCATTGGTGAGTGCATAACATTTATTGTTATTTCCTCCTTCCTTTGATGATTCTAGATTTATCAGATTCCCATCTCACAAGTGCTGTAAGTACTTCTTTAGACAGCATCAGAGCAACTCTCTGCGTGTGGGGGTCATTTTCTTCTTTATGATCAGAGTACAGCATATCATCTCCCTTGAATCTAACTCTCTCTGTTCAGCTTGAATCCAACTGGTTTCACTGATTCCGAGCACCACCAACTTGTATCTCTTCAATTTCTTAGCTGTTTGATTAATCATCCCGGTCTCCCACATTATCCGGACATTCCATGTACCTATATTAATTGTCGTTCCGGTTGTTAGGAAAAGCATCGTCCTCGTGACTTCCGAAGAATCCTGACTTTCACCATAAGGTATCATAACTTTTCTGAACGAAAATCCTTCGACTCGGAGGAAAGTTTAAGTTGTTTTTTCTGGTTAGCGCTCAGTTCAGATCCCAAAATGCTTTCCTACATGTCTCTCACTTTCTCCACCTACTCGGGCCTTAAAATCAACCATGATTACTATCTCCGAGTGTTTGGATCAGAATGCTTCCGATAAAGCTCTTCTATTTTTTCCATGCTGTATTCAACATAGTGAGGAGACAACAGTGTGTATCGTCATCTGTGCGAACTCACATTGGACCTAGTCTGGCAGCACATAGAAGTCTGTCAAACCTATTGCGAGGTTAACTGTTCCGCTCTCAAATTTAGTTACGTACTTACTCAATGATGTCACAGTTTATATTTACCACCTGTTATTATGGTTCCCTTGGATTCACGACCGATGAGTTTGTAGTGGGGCGTTAGTCAATAACGGAAATGGACTTTTGAATACATATATTTTGCATATGAAGCGAATGGAACAGAGAGAAGCGAAACGACGCGCAGTGGAGATGGTGGGTAAGCCGATTCCGTTTAGTCAAGCGTTAATCAATATTTATAGTCACACAAAATTAAGCTACAGATATGTGATAAATAGGATAAGAAATGTACACACATATAAAAACAGTCAAGATTGGTAAGCGCATAATTAAGGTCAAAATGTAACTCAACTAGAATGAATAGATTGGCCTGTCCGAAATCTAGAATAATGTATATGGGCTTAACATAATAACTGACACTACAAGCTATTTTACGATATTCTGCATGGTTGATTTGGTCATGGAAGGTTGGGCAAAATTTATGGGCATAATCTATGGAATGTGTTTTCGATTTGAGCCGTATCCGTAGGTGAAGATTTCCTGAAATCGCAGTAGTCCTACTTCATTTCTGGAGAATTTGAATGTTTTAGTCCGGAATTCTGTATAGTTAAATTCATTGTACGCAAATCCATTCATACATCCTGAGTGTAAAGTTCCACCATAGTTACCATTTCTACCCTGAATTCTAATGTTTCTAACATTCAGTTTATCTTCGTAGGTAATAACATTTCCTACCCCATTCTCGAAGTGTTGAAGGTGATAACTTGGACCGACTCATGCTATGTTTTACTGTCCCTATGAATAACTAATCTTACTTAAATTATGTTGATAAAGGTTTTCAGAAAAAGTTCGGTGAAATTTCTTAGAGTTCCACCTCTAACTTGGTTGTTCTGGGCTCTTTTGAGATGTTAGGTCCCGTGGTGGGTACGGAGGATCCACCCAGGGGAGTTGGAGAACTATGGTTCCGAACCAATGATGCACACAGGGTCCTGAGGGAAATTGTAGCGTGTTGTAGGTCATCGGATACCGTGGGACTACATCTTCTGAAGTTGCTTAACTGCCTTGTGGATTAGACCTCTAACTCAAAAGCTCAGGGAGCGGCCTTCTAAAAAAACGACCTACAAACTCATGATGAAACTTAAAATTCCAATATTTGTGGGAAATATTTCACCCATCTTTGAATAGGAAAACATTATGCCGTCAATTTTAGTAGAGATAAATACAGCAGTGTGTAGAATTCTTACGGCCGACCATACTTTATGGGCTTTACATTCCTCTGTTAAAGTTCTTGGTGAGTATTTGTATATATTTGATGCTATCTTATCCACTTTCGACAAGTTAGTAAGCATGTTACTTAATAGGATAACCAACGGAAAGATAAATACATTTTGAGTATATACTACTTAAATTAGGATTATTTTTACGCAGTTTAGTTTTGGCATTTATTATTACACTGAATAGTAAGATACAGTTTTCAGTTATTCAAAGATGGCAATGTATATTATACTGAATATGGTAGCAAACTAAACTAATAGATTAAAACGCATTTATGAACAGTTTTATTGATTAGTCATATTAAAGTAGTCTTCATAATTAACTAATTTAAACCAGTGGCCACAATAACACTGAACTGGGTCGCCTTTTTCTAATTCTAACCAATTGATAGAGTCCGCTTCCGGTTCACCTAAGGGAAAAAAGTGACAGTGAGTATGAAAAAACTTGTTCAAAATATATAATTCATTAAACCTCAGAATATACCTTAGCTTCATTTAATCCGTCAAGGCGTGTTTAATATTCAGCTATAAATTAATTTATGGAGACATTTATTTGTCTAATCATACCCGAAAGGTACTATGTTTAAGTTATGATGGGATTTAAAATGACTAATAACCGTTTTTATAGGGCAGTTGAAATTGCCATGTTTAGAAACAGGTTGGAAACCAGTTTATCAATTTTAGACTACTATCTTCATTATCTATGTCAGGTTATATGTTAACTATGTGGATTGCACTAAATGCTTGAGCGAATTACTGTTTTTGGATACAATTCTACTGCTTCTCTCACTACGTCAATACGCATGTGATTACAACTGCTTATCAGTCTAAATTAATTATTACAAAATCTGCAGTATCATTCTTCATTTTACTAGCCTTGTTAGCATTTATAATAGCAGCTGTTATGTCATGTGGGTATTTCTCCAGACAGAAATTATGCCTTCTCATGATGCACACAAAAATTATCACGTTATAGTATGTAGGACTGTTGAGTTTGACTGTGTTTTGAATTCACTCTACACTTCGTATCTTCAAAAGCAACAGGGAGTGATATCAGTCAGTCAGCTGGCAACGTAGGACCAGGCACATATATGCATCGGTTCAAGTTGCCACATCTCATTAGCACAACAAGATGTATAACAGATTCATAGAAGTAGTTAATTCAGTGGTGGTGATATAAGGAAGAAAGATTGTGTATAAGGAGATAGTACAGGAACAAAGAATTAGTTCGTAGAAAGAAAGATATGAAACGATTTTAATCTCTTAGTTTAAAGGAAGACAAAGAGTGTATACACCGACGCCATTGTGATCGATTCTGAGCCATGTCACCAAGAGTCTCCAACCATTGGTTACGATAGTCACGTGGACCCCAACCAGGCAGTCTGCATCTACCAACATGGCTCAGACCAGAAGTTAGTGACTTCAAGCACTGATGCCACGTTTTGGTTTGGCCGCCCCTAACTTTCTTCCAATTATCCCTAACACCAGTGAGCATTGCGTGTCGTGGCAATCGGTGTTCAGGCATACGCAACACGTGGCCCAACCCTCTCAGTCGATTAAGATTCATAACCTCATCAACTGACTTACCATCATTCCCTAATACCCTGCGTCTAACCTCACTATTACTTACCCGGTGATCCCAGCAGATACCCGCAATATTTCTAAGGCACCTGTGGTCAAATACTAGTAACTTACGAATATCTTCTACTCTTAAAGGCCATGTTTCGCAGCCGTATAGTAGAACGGAACGAACTGCCGCGCAGTATACTCGTCCCTTAATTGATAGACGGATATCTCGCCTTCGCCATAGGTGACGTAAGTTGGCAAAAGCCAAACGATCTCTTCGAATCCGTGCTGAGATTTCGTTAGACACCAACTCATTAGGGCTGATCAGACTTCCAAGATAAGTGAAGTTGTCAACAATTTCGACTACTTCATTCCCTATCCTAAGTTCAGGTGTTGACGCAGACCAGTCCTGAAGCAACAACTTGCATTTAGAGGGAGAGAAGTGCATCCCAAACATTCTGGCATTGTTGCTCAGTGCTACCGAAAGACTCTGCATTTTATCAGCGTCTTCACCAAACAGGACTATGTCATCTGCGTATTCTAAGTCGATAAGTGGACTTCCTGGCAGGAGATCAATGCCTGAAAATTCGGTCGATGAGAGCGTTATTTCCATCAGTAGATCTATGATGAAGTTAAACAAAAATGGAGAAAGTGGACAGCCTTGACGGACACCACTTGAGGTTGCAAAAGCAGAAGACAGTTCGCCATAAGCTCTGACTCGACTAGTAGTGTTCGAGTAAAGAGCCTTCACAAGGTTTATGTACTTCTGAGGTACGCCTTTCAATGACAGACACTGCCACAGAACCTCTCAGTCAACAGAGTCAAACGCTGCTTTTAAGTCAAGGAAGACCACCATTGTCGGACGCCGATAAGTATGCCTGTGTTCTACTAGAACCTGACGAATGGTGAATATGTGGTCTATGCATCGACGACCACGTCTGAAGCCAGCTTGGTTCTCTCGTGTTTGCAGTTCACGAGTCTTAGGCGTCCGATAATTACCGAGGTTAGTATTTTAGATACTATATTGATTACACTAATCCCTCTATGGTTGTCGCAACATCAAAACTACCGAAGTGTGACCTCAATTGTTCATGGAACCTACTTTTGGTTTCCTTGTTACTCAGTTCAGTTCTAATGGGTCTTTTTTAGTGTGGCTTTTTGCGTCCAGTGAGGCGCAAGCAGACACGTGCTCGTATTAGAGCACGGTCGGAGTCCGAGCAGGTACTCCAGAATGAACGACAATCTCCTATCAAGCCTCTCCAACGATGACTGATGGCAATATGGCCTATTTGAGTTCATCGTTGGTTTGGTGCAGAGGGTCTTCATGTTAGACGATGTCTCTCCTTATGCTTGAAATTTGTGTTTGCTAAAAATAAACGATTGTCTGAGCAAAGTTGCAGCAGACGATCACCATTATCTGTTCGCTGTGCCGGACTACTAAAATACCCACCTAAATGTCTTTCTGTTTCGTTTAAGCTACCTACCTGGGCATTAAAGTCGCCTGCTATGAATACTATGTCTAAACGTTTAGCTTTCTGAAGAAGTTCAGACAGCTTTCTGTAAAATTAATCTTTTACTTCTACCGAACTGCAGGCAGTCGGAACGTAGGTAGAAACGACGAAAAGGCAACGACGTGTGTCCCTGTCCTTCCGAGTTTTTACCAAGCCGTTTAGCCGAACAGCGCATACACGAATGTTGACGGGGATCCACTCTAATAGCGCTTGTTCCGCCCTCATGCTTAGTGTTATGCCTACACCTGCCAGTCCACGAGAACTAGCCATCGGGTCGCCAGATACACGGAGTGTGTATCTCGTCGGCACTCCGTTTTGCCGAGGTGAGGTCAAGTGAATGATCACGCTAGGATCCTATATGCGTGTTTCGGAGACACAGCATACATCAATGGTACGAGATTCTAGGGTTTTAGCCAATGAAGCCTGCTGACCGATTTGGCATAGTGTGCGTGCGTTGAAGGCTCCAATGTGTAGTTTGGAGCGAGGTTTCAGTAGACCTGTGACAGTGTTTTGCGCACTAGAATCGTTGGCTATGGTGATACTTGAGGAGGAAACCAAAAGAGGAAGTTTAGTGTAGAAAGTCGATGTAGGAGGAATAATAGGAATGGAAGAGGGAGGTTGATTATGAATACAGTGGTCTTGAGTGTTGTTAGAAGTATGAGGGTGGTTATCACTTCCCGGTTGCCCACACCATGGAGGGGTTCTGCTGGAGGTGCCTGAAAAGGAAATTGGATTAGAGGTGATAATAGTGACCTGAGAGCGTGACCGCAGTGCTCAAGGAACAGCTGCTTGAGGTCGGTCACATACGACCCCTTTATGAGTAGTTTTTGTGTTAGCTCCGCACTTGTTGAGACCTTACCGCCAGAGACGGATATCCATGGGATAAGGTGAGGTGTGCATTTTTATGGTCGACCTTTTCTAACCCCACCCTTCCTTTTGGGAAGGCAGAATCTCTATTATGCTGGTTGTCTGAAGGAAACACCTTACTGCTATCACACCTCTGTACAGCCAGCAGTACGACTTCGCCTTCGGACCTTGGATTTGTTGCTTTTACTCTTACCGCTCTTCAACCGACCTGTCTGGCATGGTAGGACCTTGGAGAACGGTTGTTCCAGCCAGTATAGCTCAGTTGCTTCATCACGATAGGCAAGCCCGACCACCACGTCAAGGTAGCAACAACGGTCGGGTGATATCATCATTACTGTCTCACAAATGCACTTACAAGTAAACTAATATTGAGGTCATAAACTGTCACATAAGCTTTCGTACAGAAACAAATCTTAAACACATTATCTGCTTCAGAATGCTTCATGTCTGAATAGTATATAACTAGTAAGCAAAAAATTCTAGACAAATAAATTTTTTGTCTGTGGGATAAATATCTCATAATATATGAAGATTCGAATCAATATTTGAGCCACAGTGGATTTTCTAATTAGTAGAAAACCAATATAATACAAGGTGAAAACTTCCCTTCACTCTACACCCAGTTCTAACTAGATAATGTAGTTGTATTTAGTATGAACATGTTGAAAAACGAACATTACTTGAAGATCAGGAAGTGGTAAGCGGACAACAAAATTTGAACTACCAACAAAAAGATAACAAGTAGGTTCGTTTCTTTTAGCAAAGCTCTTTGCATCCTTTAACCATAGCGACCATCTAGTCAACAAACTTTTACACAGCTATGACAAGTTTTAAAAGCTCCAAGAACCGTGATCATTTATTGGTTCGACTACCTTAAGACTTCTATAATTTTGTCACTTAAGAGATCTTACGATACGTGAAAAATGCTTGGAAAACATAATTTGACGAACATCTGTAGTCTTCTAACATATTTTTGCCACTAAATCGTCTAACTTCACAAAACTGTTAATCTTGCCTTCAAAATATATTCTAATATCCTATGTAACACGTGTATTAAGAAAACTCAGAACTGTGGATTGCACACTACATCATATAATTTAATACAAAAGAGAAAAATGAACTTAATAAAACTAACAAGCATTCACTAAGGTCTACTTACAGATGCATCCAACCATTCGCCTGTGTGACTGTGAAGGAATAAGATTAGGAGAGAACTGTGAATTTTCGCTAGGGATCCGTATGCGTTTAACCTCGAAAGGATCCTTTAACATGAACAAATGTTAAATGAGTGTATTTTTGTCCATTACCTGTTCCACAACTATTTTCGATACTAAATCAAAATTTTTTGTATTTACAGCTTCATTAAGCAGTGGAAAATCAGAAACTAAAATACTAGATTAAAAATAAGTATAGGTTACCGACGCAGTTTTCTGATGATTCATTTGCATCTGACTTAGTCGTAAAAAGTCTTGAGTAGCACGAACAAGCATAGCTTCTTATTAACGGGATAGACCTTACAACGCTAATCCGAGAGTAAGCGAACATCATTCAACTCTTACTGATGGGAGTACATGTGTATGCTAAATTTAAGACAAAAGATTTAGGCCTCTATCAGACATAGTAACAAGTAATTACAACTTCATTACGTAGATAATGTTTAGAGTAAATACACTGAACACAATTTAAATTCTTTGTTCTGATCAATTTAGAAAGCTAATGCTGGGGTTTTGAACTGTTGTAGGTTTCCGATAAAACGGGCAGACCCCCGTTATAAATATGAACGAGGCAACGGAGGCCTTTAATTCAAGCATTTAAAATAAACTCGAGTACTACACACAAGTAGCTAGCCTCTGCGTAAAAAGAGACAGTTAGTTGTTGGAAAAGATTCAACTAAGCTGATTCCCGGAATAGCAAAGCTCCGTATGATGATTGATTTGCTAAACTAAACATATTTCCATTGTCATATAGAAAAACCAGATACGACTTGGTCACAGTTCTTAAATTACTTAGTGATAAATTTGCATATGATGTCTTCACTTTTCTTGTCTTCCAAAACAGGGGATTCACGAAGACACTCAGAAAGTTTACGTGCCCAGAAGAAATTGGCTGTCAGCTGACTATCGACTTTCCCATCGAATCATCAACAAACAGAGTTCATTACCTGAACACATGATTGGAGCTCCACCTGTCGACGCTTTTAAAAGAAAGTTGGATCCACTGAGAGACTGTCATTGCCAGGGCTAACACAGGTCACCTAGCCTCTTTTCCTTTTCAAACTGAGACATCTGGGCCACAGCTCAGGTTGATTATAATTTGACTAGCACTTCCATAATGTATGATTCATGAAGTAGTGTGCATACATTTTTACGCTTAATGGAATACTGTATTATCATTTATTTAGGTCGAAAGTTAGCAGAATATAGTCCGGCAGTAAAACATCAAGCATATCAGTACGATAACTGTTGTTACTACAAGATAATTAGTTACTCGAATTTTGCTTGACACTAAGTTAGTGACGATCTACATCAACATACTGAAGTCGCTAAATTTCTAATGTCGCTACTGGAAAGAACTGTAAGGAGGTACTAGCTAGGTCACGATAACAAACAAAATTGTCTTGCCTTGAAGTCATCGGTGCCACGAAGTTAGACCAAATACTGGACAGTGCGCCCTCTTTTTTAACGGGGCCAGCGACAAAATGTCGACTGTTTCTGGTTTATGTAGACTTCATAATGTTTAAAAATTCTTTAACGTTACCTCTGTACTTAGATTTAAAATATTTAGCATCAGTAATTTACCTGTCAGTGCATCATAAATTACACAGAAGTGCAATAGATACCGTTTGCAATGGTTTACGTAATTTTCGTGAAGGATATGAATGGTGTTACGGACCTGAAAATATCGTTTGTAATGTGTATTCGTTAAAGCACCTTGCTGATGACACAAGTCTGCATGGAGCTTTGGATTCGTATTCCGCTTTCCCATTCGAGTCTTACATTGGGCAGAATAAGAAATCAGTGCATAGCGCTTACAATGTAGCTAAACGGGCAGCTCAGTGTTATGCAGAAAAGGTGTCATTCTGTAGGTTGAAGCTGGCGTTTCCGTAAATACGATGGATTCATCAATTAAACATAATTACAATAAACAGATAATTACACACAGACACATTAAATTCACTTCATTTAAGCCGGGTAATGTAGCAATAGTCCACGGTAAACCTGGGCTGATCATTGACATAGGGAATAATAGATTAATTATATGTAAATCTTTTACTGACTCTGTAGCTTATCTTACAAAGTCATCCCCTTCTAGAGAAATAGTTATATTTATGTGCACTCCAGTTATTCATGAACACATATGGGCTTAGATTGATTTATGCTGTAAGTGCATTTCATTGAACTGTTAATAACGTCGTAATAGTTCCGTCGCAGCATATGTTTACGTGAATAGATTTATCTTGCTTACTCATATGTTAATACTTTGAAATAATTTACGATTTTTAAATATCATTTAGCCTGAAACAAGACAGTTTACAACCATCAGTACATTCAGCAAGAGGCAGGTACTTATTGGCCTGCTTCGGTTTGGGCACCCGGGCAGTATCACAGCCCTCACACAAATCAATTGAGATTTGTGTGGCGCATATGTATTTGGTGCCTCCCTGTACCTATACTTATGTGTTAAAATAAATAAATAAATAAAGGTACTTATTGGAGCAAGTGGCTTGTCAGTGAAGAACTAGACATGTATCCTGCTTTGTGGACATGTACCAAGGGCTTATTATTGTTCAGAAAACTCGCCAGCTACCATACCAGTATTTCGCCCGATAAAAACACAATACCACTGAATATAAAGAAACTTAAGATGTAAGTACAGTAGTCCTGCTATCTTTTTTTAGAGAGATACGCTGAAATAGAGAGCAGGGTACTTGTACAATTCTGTTGACATGGATGTTGTTGAAATGTAGGTTGGAAATAGTCACGCTTAGTATCCAAAGTCCAATTTGCTGGACACTCAAGTGTCACCGAACGTAGAGTACGTACATCATATTTATGAACGAATTAGATAAGTTCTACATAAGTTGAAACGCTGTCGTCAACCCCCGCGTCAATACCTGTTGGTAGTAGATTCTCGACCGAACAAGTAACATTGGCAACTCAAGCCTGGTTTAGATTTGCAAAACGACGTGTTGTTACGCAAAGCATTTCATCAGCAGTATTGGGCTCGAGTGCCAACGTTATGCTTATACAGCAGCTCGCCCTGTCCTATCTAAACGATCTCGAGTTACTGACTGGTCGAAAGTTGGATGCTACCACCGACTACGAATACTAAAAGTCTTTCTGAAACCACGTATATCACCTGAACTGGCCTGCCTCAACGTTCGCACACTAATGAGGATCGGACAACACAGGGTTGGTTGTCTTTCGAAAGTCTTAATATCGATGTTTGTTGTCTACTGAGACCCATATTCAAGACTCTTGTGAAGTACTATAAGTTCGCTCTCCATCTGTCACTTCAAAAAGCTTGTTTTACGTGCGTTTATCCAGGGACCCTGTGGCATCTTCGCCTGGTTTCGCTGGAGTTGGTGTCGCACTAAGCGCTAGAGCTGAGGCAGTACTGATCGGTTGGATCCCATTAACAGTCGGTTATATGCTGTTAGATTAGAAAGTTCCATCAAAGCGAGAAGAAACCGTTGTGAGAAACGATGTATTTTCGTTATCTCAGCCTATGCTCCGACAGATTGCAACCCGGATGCGAACAAGAATGATTTTTACCACCAGTCAAATGTTCTACTTCAAAAAGTGCATTCGACAGATATTGTAGTACCAGCCGGAAACTTGAATGCTCAGGTCGGGCGTCTAGGCACAGACGAGAGTCCTTTGGGTGGCCGGTGGAGGCCTATTGACCGAAGATCAAATAACAGTGACCATCTACTACAACTGCGCAGATCACAACATAGTTTTGGCTAGCATTAACTACCGGCATAGTCATCGCCGATGTTCTGCCTGGTGTCCTCCCTCTGCATCTCAAGCCTGGACGAATATTGACCAGATCGCGAACAGTTACTGCTGGTGTGGTTGTGTACAAGACTGCCGCTGCTTTTGGAGTACCTATCTGGACTCTGATCATGCCCCTGTTTCCGCTAAGCGGATTGATTTCAGTAAGTTGGTTACAGCTTCAGTCGCAACTAAATATCAAACCGAGTTAGGTTCAAGTCTAGCTACCAGTCCACCCAAAATTATGTTATTTATTTATTTTAACACATAGGTATTGGTACAAGGAGGCACCAAATTCATATGCGCCACACAAATCTCATTTGATATGTGTGAGGGCTGTGATACTGTCCGGGTGCCCAAACCGAATCAGGTGGTTTTCTTAGGGGGGCCACACCCCGAGCCTTCGACCTGAAAATCTGGTCCACAAGGCAGTGGAGCATCGTGAGGAGATGCAGTCTCATGGTAGCCGGTGATAAAAAAATTGGTTCATATGCCATTTGTTCCTTCAGAATACTGGAGCCCATGTGCACCATTGGTTTGGGATCCGGTTAAAGCGCCGGACATTCGCTTTTCGTAAACAACACCCCCACCACCTGAAGGCAGTGAGTAGGACTTCCCTGGCAGAGGCTATATACGCGTGGCCATGTGAGAGCATTTTGAGAGGGAGAGCGGACTCTCTCCACTCTCGGCGGTACCAGGGCATTTGGGGGCACCCAAAAGTATGGAAGATAAGCGTAACTTCTTTAACTGAAAGAATTCTTTCTGGTTGTATTTTTGTCAACTAAATTGCATTTCTCATTATTACTATTTTATTCTCATACACTAATTTCTGTTCGTTGTTGTTTTCCTTATTCTTATACGCACTTTACATCCTCTATTTCTTTCACGTTTCTTCACAGCCTCCTTGTTATTGTGTAGAGCATATGTATTTGGTGCCCCCTTTTATCAATGTTTCTGTCCAAATAAATAACAGATAATAATTCATGTAACGGTCTAAGTCAAATGAGCATGATAATTGATGGAGACTTCTTATTGGATTACCAAGTCCATATTTCCCTTTATCAGCCCCCAAATGGCCTGGTACGGCACCCGGACAGTATCACAGCCCTCACACAAATCAAATGAGATTTGTGTGGCGCATATGTATTTGGTGCCTCCTTGTACCAATATCTATGTGTTCAATACCAAAATATTCCCCTTTATAACGTAGGGAGGATACGTGTCTTCAACAATAAAACATAAAGGAGGAATCCTTAAGTTCACCAAGTTTTTTGCTATTACTTTACATTTTAGATGGCCATAGTGAGGCGATTAATAGATGGTCACTCAAAAACTCCCATGCGCCATATTTTGTCATACGTCATGAAACCTGAGGTTGCCAGCTACTTAACACTATTTGGCACTACATCTAAGAGATTTTCAGAACTGCAGGTTTTATGACAGCAAACGAAGTAAGGCCGTATCGTCTTATTCTTAATTATTAGAAGCATTACCATGCTTTTATCACCAACTGTCAAGGAAAAATACCTTGAAAAATTGTATGACATCGCAACGCAAGTTTCGTTCCGTGATATTAGTGATAAACTTTAAAAAAAGTTGTCGAAGGAGGCAAGATAATGTAAGTAATAATTTGATGTGATAACTTTTAATTGATGCTTTACAGGCACAGTGTTCAGTGTTAACGAGTACCACTCTAAGTTTTATCTTATGCTGCCTGTTGTTGGTAATAAAAATATTGAAGTGTAAAATTATTGTAAAGGTTTGACTTATATGCAATTAGATGGTGGTTGGAGGTAGTCGACAGGAAACTCTGGACCCGGGTTTCGTGCTACTTGGTACTCGTTAGCAAGGTATACCCTTAATCTTGAGGGAACAGGTGCTCCCTAACGGATTCGATCCCGTGTCACCCTCCAACTACCATCTGATCTCACAATAGTACACGCAGTGTCTAGTCACCTAGACTAGTGGCCACATCGCAACATAGTCGATAGCCTTCGATCTGCACTAATAAGAACTTGACACACATGACATTGACCACCGCCCAGTGATCAATCAATTGTGATCACATCTCAGTTCTACAGGAGGTCGGTCGCGGCCCGGATAGCTCAGTGGTAACGTCTCTGACTGTGAAGCTGGAACCGAATCCTTTAGGGAGCACCAGTCCCCTCAAGATTATAGCTAAACCTTGCTGACGGGTGCCAAGTAGCACGAAACCCGGGTCCAGGGGTTTTTATCGACTACCTCCAACCACCATCTAATCTCACAATAGTGCACGCAGTGTCTAGTCACCTAGACTGGTGGCCACATCGCAACATGGTCGACAGCATTCGATCTGCACTAATAAGAACTTGACATGCATGAGACTGATCACCACCCAGTGATCAATCAATTGTGATCCTTATATGCAATCTTTCTTTTATATATTACCACCATTAAATTAACTACTATGAATCCGGTAAACGGAGTTTCCCAAGGTACAACCCTCGGTCCTCTTCTGTTTTTACGTTGTGTAAATGAATTGCCAACTGTAGCAAAATCATCCGTTCTACTCTTCGCTGATGACATAAAAATTTGGAGACTCATACACAGTATGTCGGATAGGATAGTATTACAGAATGATCTTAGCTCATTGGTGGCATGGTTAGACAGGTGGTCACTTGAAGTAAATCCTAACAAGTGTGGTGATGCAATTAGATAACAATGATGAATCGTATCACTATACAATATGTGGATTCGTACTACCCAAAGTAAGAAAATATACAGATTTGGGAGTCATATTAATTAATATGACTACTTAAGTAGTGACCTCAAAACCACTAGTCACTGTAAGGCTGCTGCTGCGAAAAGCTATAGGGTTTTATGGTCTATTCGAAGGTCTTTCCAGTATTTAGATGATGAAATGTTTAGATTATTATACCCGATTTACGTGCGACCACATTTAGAATACGGGATCCAAGCAGCGAGTCCTTGTTTCAAGTATGAAGCAGATATGCTGGAAAGAGTCCAACGACGAGGTACTAAGATGGCACAAGGTCTATCTGGCCTATCTTATGAAGACATACTGAGACACCTCAACTTATTTCCGTTATCTTACCGTAGAATAAGGGGTGATCTAATATTGGCTTATCGTATACTGAACGATGACTTCGGTATTAACATCTCTTATCTTTTACTTCCGTCTAGGACTGATCATTTGAGAGGACATTCGAAAAAAGTTCAAGAACCGAGACCAAATCGTTTATATCCAGAGTTTCGTTTCTCGCACCGAGTAGTGAATTACTGGAATTCTCTACCGGAACACGTAATATCAGCACCTTCTGTCGATACATTCGAAACGAGACTGGACCTCCACAGCATTACAAACTGCAAGGATTAATGTAGGTCGATAGACCTCCTATCCTTATTACTGAAGACTGAGTATGCAGACGAGTTGGCGAAAAATCTTGGTGGCGTGTGATCACGAAGAAAGGCAAATTTTCAGCCCCACACAGTGTCGCAAACACTGTGAATCAAAACTTTCCTTAAGCTAGACACAAAACTACTTGTACACCATAAAGTGTCAGTGACTTACACTTCAGCCCGAAGAACGACGCTGTCTTACAAGCTCGTGCGCCTTAATTGACCTTGAGAAACCGATAGGTTTCAAATACTTCAAATGATTCAAATGATTGTGAACGGAATAGAAGAAGCTTTCGCTTAACAGGCTTCCGTGTCTAGTAGTAGAGGATCACCAATACCTCCAGGCAGGAACCTAGGTATATTAACGATAAAAGAGAAAGAAAATAAATTGGTAAATCATAGTAAGATACTATCCTTAGTCCTTAAAAATAGATCAAGTTGCCTCCCAAAGGACTCATGGGAAGTCGCTTGGACTAGTTCAGCTGGCAACGAATTCCAGCATTTGACAACTCTTAAGGAGTAGAAGTTATGTCTACTGTCCGTTCTGCTATGTTGTATCTCCTATTCCTGGGTGTTACCTCGTAGGTTCGTATTGGGACTAAGCTTAAGTAGGTGTTTAAGAGGGTGTCCAGGTGTGTTAAGGATACTGTAAGCCATTAGAATGTCACCTCTAAGACGCCTATACTCTAATGGGTAAAGGTTGAGTGATTGGAGGCGCTCTTCATAAGGTTTAAATTCCGGACGAAACAGAAGAAACTTTCACTTAACGGCCTTACCTATCTAATGGCAGTGGATCACCAATGCCTTCAGGTGGGAACCTAGTTACACTTGGTGGTAAAGTAAAAATATTGGTAGATTATGGTGATTGTGTTGAATGATTAACAATATATCAAGTTTCCCCCTAAAGGTCTCCTGAGTAGTCGTCAGGACTACTTCAGCCTGTAGCAAATTCTAGAATCTGACTACTAATAGAGAGTAAAAGGTATTACTACAGTCTGTTCTACTATGTCGTGTCTCCGGTTTTACGGGAATCGCTTCCAAGGACTTACCTAGCTGAAGGCTCTAGGTCATGCATCCGCACTAGATCACGGGTGAGTAAGCATGATACACATCTCTTGCGATTGTTGGCCAGGTCAGACAAAATCCATACCGACATATCGACGGTCTCCCAAATATATCTTCAAATGTCCTCGTTTCTGACTTTTGATTTGACTGGGTTGGCATACTTCGATTATAAAAGGTGTTACTGGTTAGGGTGTTGTCAAACTCCGAATACTCTTGCAATCTTCAAGTATTTGGAAAGTCACCTCTGAAACTCCTATACTCTAATGGGTAAAGGTCCAGTGATTTGAGGCCCTCTTCATAGAGCTTGGATCTGAGTACCCGAACTAATTTTGTAACTCACCTTCGAACACGTTCCGATGTACTATTATTCTTTTGAGTGGAGGGCAGGAACACTATATTTCCATATTTTAAATGGTTCCTAATAAAACCGCTAAAGTGTAAGTGGAAAGTTCGACCATTCAACTGGGAAAGTGTGCGCATAAAAGTTACTTGTGCAGGGTTTGTGTAAAACTTCTGACCATAGGGTTCTGTGAAGCCTGTGAAATGTCACTTAGCCTTAGCACAATCAACCGGCAGTAGGCCCACTGGGTACCAAATAGACCACCGATATTCATAAGTTTTGACAACACGAACCAATAAATCGAATGACATGGATTGGACCATGCGGAGGTTGTCGCACTGTCTTTCTTGTACCTACTCTTAATAATATGTTCCTCTAATTACATCTTTTAAGATATATGGCCTTCAAAGCAACGATGGTACCTTGATAGAACGAAGGGTTAATCCGCGTTATGTGCTGACTGCGAAGTGTTACTTCGAAGTAAACTGATTTGTCACATCATTCCCTTCTAACTCTAGAAGGCCTCCAATCATTCGACACAGATCATCTACGTTAGTGATCTACAGCAGCAAGACTCGATCTTTTTCAAGCTTGGGTACCACTAGAAGGGAGTTACCCAAGTTATATGCAAAGTATGCAATATATCCCAGATGGACTACTTTACACTTTTCATCGTCGGACGTCAGTCCGTTGTTATCCGCCCAACGCAGAATTCCAGTTAAGCCCTCCAGAAATTCCAGCTTGTCGTGTTGGTTGTAAACTTCTCTCCAGAGTTTCACGTAGTCAGTGAAAAACGATATACCAAGCGATACTTTATGAAGAAGAAGAACTCTACACTGACTTTGAAATGTTGATTATCTGAATATAAATAATTCCATCAGTTAACAGTAGAGTAGTACCTAACTGTTTGAAACTACTGACAGAACATATATGGTTGATGTTATCAAAAGCCTTTGCAAAGCCAGTGTATATGACATCAACTCTCCCCTTGCTATCTAGAATGATCGTACATCTGCCCACTGTGGTCAGAAAGTTGGTTATACAGGTGTGGAGATATGCCTGACAAACTTATTTCGTAAATAGTTTTCGATGTGATTTATATTTATTTTGTCAATTTTTCACTGCATGTACATTTGTCATCAAGTGATTGTACGTGTTGCTTAAGTACATGACCTTGAACACTTTTCCTTCCGTTGTGTTACATTCATAGCGTGAGACACTGTGTTAACTGCTTACTAATACACTGTTGCATACATACCTGTCGTTCTCCATTCACTTGTGATTGTGTTAAATGAATTCCAAATCAAATACTGTCTACATTTATAGACTGTAATCGGAATATATCATAATCTACGTTGGATTATACCACTGGGAGGACATTATTATTATTATTCACAAACATCTTATGGGTACATAAGTGTTTTGAAGAAATCATTTCTGGTTTCTTCTTAAATGCAATAATACACAAGTTTTAATAATGTTAGCATTGTTCAAATGATTCAAATGGTTGCGGACGGAATAGAAGAAGCTTTCGCTTAACAGGCTTCTGTGTCTAGTAGCAGTGGATCACCAATACCTCCAGGCAAGAACCTAGGTATATTAACGATAAAAGAGAAAGAAAATAAATTGGTAAATCATAGTAAGATACTATCCTTAGTCCTTAAAAATAGATCAAGTTGCCTCCCAAAGGACTCATGGGAAGTCGCTTGGACTAGTTCAGCCGGCAACGAATTCCAGCATTTGACAACTCTTAAGGAGTAGAAGTTATGTCTACTGTCCGTTCTGCTATGTTGTATCTCCTATTCCTGGGTGTTACCTCGTAGGTTCGTATTGGGACTAAGCTTAAGTAGGTGTTTAAGAGGGTGTCCAGGTGTGTTAAGGATACTGTAAGCCATTAGAATGTCACCTCTAAGACGCCTATACTCTAATGGGTAAAGGTTGAGTGATTGGAGGCGCTCATCGTAAGGTTTAAATTTGAGTCCCCGAACTGATTTCGTGGCTCGCCGTTGGATACGCTCCAGAGTGTCCTTATCCTTTTGGAGTGTAGGAGGAAATACTATGTTCCCGTACTCTAAATGAGGACGAATGAAACTACTGAAGATTATGTGGAAAGTTCCCCCGTCAAACTGACCAAAAATGCGCTTCAATGTTACCAGTGCAAGGTTTGCTCTAAAAGCATTTTTGCCACAGTTGGCGTAAGACTTTAAGTCGTAGGGCACCAGAACTCCTAAATCTTTTTCGACTCGGGATACTACTAGAGAGGCGTTTCCTAAGTTGTAACTGTAATCTGCGACGTGTCGCAGATGGACTACTTTACACTTTGGAGTGTTAAAGGTAAGTCCGTTATCGTCTGCCCAACTTTGAAGTCGAGTCAGATCCTCCTGAAGTGCCTGTATATCGTCTTGGTTGCGTATCTCTCTCCAAAGTTTCACGTCATCGGCAAAGAGCAGTATGTCTGACGTTACCTGTTGAGGAAGATCATTTATATAAATCAGGAAGAGGAGAGGTCCTAGTACTGAGCCCTCGGGGACACCACTAGAACATTCCATAGCACGTGAGAAATTGAAGTTTACCCTGACCTTAAAATGTCGATTTGTGAGGTATGAACTGAGCCAGTCAATTAAAGGTGGTTTGATTCCCAATTGTTTGAGCTTGTTAATAAGACATGTGTGGTTAACCCTATCAAAAGCTTTAGAGAAATCAAGGTAAATGATGTCTACCTTCCCCTTGCGTTCAACGATGCTTGTCCATCTGTCCACCGCGGTCAGCAGGTTCGTCATACAGGAATAACCCTTCCTGAAACCATGCTGTTGGGGTGAGAAGAAATTTAAGGACAGCAGATAGTCATGTATATCATCGTATATCAGGGACTCCATGATCTTTGAAGGTATAGAGAGAAGGGCCACCGGTCGGTAACTTGAAGGTTCACTGCGTCGACCTCCTTTGAAAATTGGTGTGATGTGAGCCAGCTTGCAATTTCCCGGCAGTTTGCCTTGACTTAGCGAGTGTGAGAACATCACGCTAAGCGGTGTCGCCAGGATTGAAGCTGCTTCCCTCAGTATAGCAGAGTGGACCATATCTGGACCAGGAGAAGTGTCTGTTCTTAGGTGTTGTAGTTTACGGTACACCAAGTCAGCGCTCAGTTTCACTACGGAAAGTCCTGTGCAGTTGCAGACAGAGCCGACATCAGTATAGTTGATGTGGGTCGGCTGAAATGTCCGGGAGTGGTGCTCAGCCAGAAGATTAGCGGCGTCACCGTCATTACCGGTCGGGCCGTTAGGACCTAGCAGTTGAGATACTCCAGTTTTGGCTTGACAAAGAGAGGCTGCGTAACGGAATAAGCGTTTCGGGTTGGAAATAAATTTATCCATAAGCTTTAACTGGTACTGAAGCCTGTCTTCTCTTATAGCCGTCGTACATATGTTCCTTATATGTTTGTATTGCCTGTACTCGCCGTTATTGTCGGTTCGTTTGTATTCTGCCCAACAGTGTCTTTTACGGCTTAGCAAACGAAGAGTGCGGTTCTTGATGGTTGTAGGTTGCATGTGCCTTTTGGGGGCAGTTTGAGGGACTGACTGCTTTGTAGCACATAAGAGAGTGTGTAATAGGAAGTTCCAATTAGCATCCACATCAAGTTGAGGGTGAACGTCCCAATCCACCTGTTGCAGATAGTCCTGTAGAGCTAACGCATTCAATCGTTTGAAATTCCAGCGCATGTTGTTGTTGGGATATCTTAGCTCTGTTTTGCTGACGAAACTGAAGGCTATAACGGCGTGATCACTTTTCTCCAGGGGAGCCAGAATTGAGAGGTTGTCGACTAGAAATTCATTTGTAAAAACACA